GAAATGGTACTTTTGAAATTAGTCAATGGTACTACAGAAAGCGGCCCACGCTTGGGTTTTTCTCATCAGCTATAAAACTTGTTTCTCACAAAGTAAAACGTAATGACTTGTTTGCCTATCTGCCTAAAAATAATTATGAATTGTTTCCTTCAGTTATTGCACCATTTAATGTGTCTAGAGACGAATTTTGGCTGTTTTATTAGAAAACTAGTTACAATTTTACCACAGAAAATTATGTTTTTCTACTGCAATTTTTAAACGGTAAGAGATAGAAAGAAAACTTAAATACGTAAAATGTTTGTTAAAAAAGGACCTTTCACGTGGTATGAAATTTGTTATACCTTGCTATTTAAGAATTTTGAGTTTTCAGCTTTCTTTTATTCTTAAAATTTGAGATTTTTTAAAAATTAGAAAATAACTTGGAAAATGCCCTTACTACAAGTTATCTTAAAGAGTAGCTCAAGAATAAGCTTGGAAAGAAATTTGGCGCTGTTCCGTTCAGTAGTTAGGTTAATACGGTACTTAACTTTCAAAGTCCTTTTTTAAAACGTTTTGACCCACCCTGTAAATACGGTTAAAGATAATTAAACTTTTTTTGCACCAAAATGATCGGGGTGATTAGACCTTTAAATTGATGTATCACACAACCCATGTTTACATTTGAAAATTTCTCAAAAAGCACCCCTACCCCCCAAATTGGGCCCTTTTGGGGCATTTTTCAAAATTGAAAATAATTTTATTGGATTTGGCATGTCCAAATTAGGGGGAAATGAGAACAAACAAGTGTTAAAAGCCTTACCTTTGCACACAACAGATATGGAAAGTTTTCAAATGAACACCCTGTATAACTTTTGGTCTTTATGGTCTTAGTTGTAGAATGTTGCATGCCATAACAAACACTGTCACAGGTGTTTGGATGTGTAAATCCCCTTGAGTGAACACTATATCTTAGCCAATTCAGCCAGTGCATTTTGTCCATATATTGGCCAAATATGGTAAATGTATTTATTTCTATAAACATAAAAAACGTTTCCTTTCCCTAGCCCCAAACTTAAGTAGGTATTCGTTAAATCAATCTTATTTGCACGGGGAAATAAATACTATTTATTTATGGAAATATTAAAATCCATTCAGGCAAAGTGAAATTCACTTAGTCTGCATGTTTGCTGGGCCCGGGGCATTAAAAATGGTATTGACTTTTGTATTATCAATAACTTTTGTAGAAATACAACGTACGTGTCTCATGACGTATAAATTAATTGGAAACAAAAAGGTTATTCCTTGTCTTTCATGTGTAAACATGGTTTTTGACCATTACGTTATCAACGACAAAGGTTAACCTCAAATGTTTACATTACCTACTCTTTTATCTGTTTGTCAACCTCTTTTGGTATTCTAAGAATTCTTATGGAAATACTCCTGTTGTTAACACCGGAAAAAAAACTAGATAAGTATGGTCAACAAAATTGTGTTCTTTTGATTGTTGTACGTATTGGTGTTACCAAGGCAACAATAAATAAACGTGTTGCCTTGGTTTTACCTTTTACACATGTGTTTTGAACTTTGTATGTAAACATCTTGATACAATAATTAATGCAATGTTTTCAGTAAAAACCAGCATTTCCCAATTTAGCGAATTTCCCAATAGGGAAGTAGGTATTACCGTAGGTGTCACAGTAATACATATAGGCCAGGGACCGATTTACTTTTTCATTTTGATGTCACTGTTTTATATTTTCAAAATCAAAATCAAAATTTTATTGGGCCATTCAACATTAAAGTAATAGGCTAAGTCAGAAATTAACAAAACGACAATCCTCTTGGGTCCTCTTGACGTTCAATAGTCAGTCTATAATAATAAAATAAAAACATGCACAAACACCATGCAGAAAACACTAAAATATCTATAAATAAGTAAAAAAAAAGATCTGATACCAAACACGAGATGCAAGAACAGGCTGCTATTTTTGTACATTCAAAGGAATAACTCTGGTAAATCATTTAAGTTTGATGAAATTATGCTTATAAGGCTAGGCGCACACGAGCGATTATTTTGAGGCGACTATTTCATCGGCCGATCTGTGCATCATGTATTTGAATGGAAGCGCGCACACAGGCGATCGAGAATTGCGCCGATTTTAAAATCTGGGTTTTGCCACAGATTCCTAGGCGAGGCGATTGTCGCCCGAAAATCTGTAACGTACAGGTTGTTATCAGTCCGCGCACACGGTCGACTAAAAAATCGGACAGTCGCTTGTTGTTCTCCACAGGAGTAGTGTGAGTTAATGAAATGAAATGAAATGAAAAAAAAAATGAGTTGTGTTGTTTTCTTTGCTAAAAAGGCCACAGCTTTTATAATAAAAACTGAAACTTTCAACAGACATTTCAAGGACATTTCTACAGTAATTAAAGAATTTTTTACTGTCATCACGTAAAGTGTATAGTTTATAAAACTGTCGATTTTAAAGTATCTGACTTACTATCGGATGAACCTAATATTTAAGTTGTCTTCTTTTTTTCTTTGGTCTAATTAGAAGAGCACAAACACAGGTTCATTCAACAAAGTCCATTTTAGGATAGCTTAAACGCACTCAAAAAATTCCGACTAAAAAATCGCCACGTGTGCGCCTAGACATAAATCAAGGGCGATTTATTTTTGGCCGATTTTTTAATCGGCCGATCGAAAAATCGACCGTGTGCGCTAGGCCTAAGCGACCATGGTCTGATTATTTGGAAAGACTATATAAGCATCTACAGCTCCTATATAATTTATCTCTATTAGTTGAGTAATGTGGTTTAAATGGCAGTTTTTTTTTCATTGCTTTGTAGTAAGTTTTCTGTTTGGCACGACAGCTAATTGGCAGGATCTCCGAGAGACCAATGAAATAATTCAATTAATTTGATTGGCCAAATGTGAGACAGCTAAAGACACTGGTACTAATTTAGTATGGGTGGCTGGCAGCAAATATCTTTAAGTTATCATCATAAAAATCTGGAAGGTTGGTAAGCCTTTCATTCGTGGTAAACATTCATAGGTTTGTGTTGGTAGGCCTAATGTTATATATATATATATATATTTCTTATTTTACCAAGAGTACAAATAAGGAACGTGCAAATTACTATAGACTAACCAACAATAAGGGAGAATGTTTTATCTTTATCTATTATATTCATAAAGAATCTTGTATGCATTGACTTTGAATTGATTAGGAGAATAAGAAAAATATTGTGGGATTGGGAAATTGTGAGGTATCAATACAGCTAGCTTATTATATTATAGAGGGAAAGGAATGTGAAAAAAAATTTCAAGATATAGATTACATAAAAATAAAATCCCAATATATTTTGGTAATAAAAAATATTATATGAATATTAGCTAAATTATTGTCAAATGATTATTATTAACCACTCAGGCACATTTAAATTACATATTGCCATTTATTAGTCAATCAGTAGACTATTCATAATCTTTTCAAAACTTATCATAATATTTTAGATTTAATAAGAAAAAAATGGACATGCAAGCAAGAAAGTAACTTTTTCAAGGCGGAGCTGTTGCTGTTAGTATAAGAAGTTAGACGGGGGATTGGCAACTGTGAGTACTGTGACATTGGTTGTTTGTTATATATCGATGGGTTGAAGCCAACTTCCTCATTACCAATTCAAAACCAGCAATCAAGGTAGTGTTATTTTACTGTCACTCTTGTACCAGCTGATTTGCTGGTAGTATCCCAACTTTGAGATCAGGGTGAGTGCCTTAACAATATTTAAAACACTATGGAGTAATTTCCCTCGATTCTTAGAAAATAATAGACCCGGGACCGATTTACTTTTTAATTTTGAGGTCCCCGGACGCCAAAAACACCCTCCGTTCAAATTCATATATATATATTCGTGTGTAATTTGGTACAAACGTGTAAACCTACGTTTATTCGAACGAGTTCGCGAACCAGCATGATCCGACTATGGGAACGAGGGTTTATGGGGGTTTTATAGGGTTAAAATTGGGTTTTCCCATTTTTGACCCTAAAAACACAAATTTTCACAATTTCTTTCCAGACCATTTTGTAGAGTTAAAAAAAAGAATTTTGTATATTGACGCGTCGTTGTAACCTAATAGTTACGGAAGTAATAAAAAAAATTTAAATTCCCATGTTATTCTTATGGCAAATTAATAAACTGTTGTAGTTTGCTTGTTTATGGACATATATTAATCAAATTTGGCAGTTTGGTTTATTTCATACTAAGCTATCAACATTTTAATAAAAAAACACACCTCAATACCTTCAATGTAGAAACAAACCTAGGTACTCATTAAAATTAATGTTATAGGAAAAAATTTGACAATTTTCAGGGAATATTTTAGTATAAAACCGGACAAATTCGATTAGTCTGCAGGTTTTCTGCGGTGGGGGTATCTTCCATTTGTTTTGGTTTTCTGTTGTTAATTATATTTCGTTGTTAATTCGTCACCAGCATGGCAACCCATAAGGCCCATGTTATTTATTTTTTTTTAATTTTAAACTCATTTTATGTGCTTATTTCTGACCCTATTTTAATTTATGAAGGGATTCTGTACATCTACGGGCAACTATCTTTCTAACAGTATGCGTACATGTTTCTGTGCGTTGCACATGTTCTGAGAAAAAAGGTTTTAAAGAAGCATGCTTGCCTAGATACATTTAAAATTTGAAACGCAATAGTGGAGATCACGTGACGGTCAGTGAAGTCATGTGGCAGTGACGCATAGCCATTGCCAACTTAAACGTCGTTGGTGCTAATTCCTTCAAAATGCATATTTCTCTTGGAAATGAATAAATTACAATCAGTCAGATAAATAAAATACTATTTTTCGAATATTTGTTAGGTGATTTATAAGTATTTAACTTTGCAGAAGTTTAAACATACTATTATTATTACTCTGAGATAAAATCTATTCTCGTCAACGTTGGCAACTCTGCCTCCCCTCCAAATCCATTTAAAAGCCACTACTGCTTTTGTGTTGATGACAAACAGCTGTTACGTTCTGTGTTGAGAGCTTCACGTACTGGTCGTGGTCGTGTTTCTTTTACTTCAATTACTTCGTTCTTTGTTTGTGAATATCAAGGTTGTTCCGTCTTTCATCCAAACAGTTCTGTAAGTTTTAACTGTTACCATTTCCTTTACTATTAATTAATTAAGCCATTAGATTGTGAAGACTGAAGAGTCTTGATTGCATATATCGCTTTTCCTTCCTCGTCCTCGCCTCATCCCCTGCTATTGGAGCCATAATTTAATTTTGAACCCTGTCTGAAAGCTTTGCTTAAATAATGCCAAAATACGGAATACGGTATTAATAGGTAATCAAACTTAAATAATAGGCTATGGGCAGAGTGTTTTTAGTTCAAAACTAGTTCCAATATAATCAAACTAGTCCCTCGTAAGTTGGTACAATGGTATTTCTGCATGGCTTGAAGTTGAAAACAAAGCAAACCTATTTTGTTTTGTTTTTTCTTGTAGGCAATGTAGGCTATTTTAACATGTCTGTCTGGATTGAGTGACTGTTGGGTTTCTTTGTTCTACGGAAAGCATTCAATGTTTAATTCACTGTTGTTTAAACAAAACAAATTAGGGTCAATCCATATCAAGTGGTCCAGAAATAAATTAAATGGTTGCTTCAAGATTTTTAATTTTTTTCATATTTTTATCCTTGAAAGTATATATTATTAGAAGTACAAAAATGCAATTATTTTATTTTTATTTTATTTTTCTACTGTATGGCGGCCATTTTTTTGTTACTCGAACGGCCGTTTTCAGCGATTTCAGAGCTCTGCGTAAAATTAAATATCTCTGGTTCTACTGATCCTAGAACATTAAAATGAAAACCAATCTCTTCAGAAAGATCTGAACTTTAATATGGTAATATATTGATGGACTTAAAACTAAATATATAGGTCTAATTACCCGTTTAAAGTTTAACGCAACAATGTTACGAATACTGATTTTGAACAATTTATTTTTATATAAAGGCAATTGACTATGTGTTTGTTATTTTTTTATCTGATAGTTATAGGTGTGTACTCTAAATTCTCAAAGTTTCAAGTTGTGAACTTGCATAGGCTTTTAAATAAAAATTTTCAAAATCTTAAAATTTTCAAAATTTCTAAAGTTTGATGCTTAATATCTTTGTTGGGCATGAAAATAAAAATTTCAAATTTGGCTCAGATATAGTACTAAGTAAGAGTATTATGCTGTAATAATTTTATTTTGTGGACTCAACTGGTTTCAAAGTTATGTAACATTGAAAAGTACTAAATAAGCATTATAGACGTAATAGCGTATCAAGCATAATGCTATATTATAACTCATTATCAATATATTTTTTAACAATGTTATATTTTAAGCATTTTGATGTTTTAAAACACTCTTTGTTGTCTTCCACAGGTACAAATCTGTGAGAGGATTGTGTTCAGGTAATTGGTAGACGTCCTTTGAGTCGAAATTGAAGTTCTAACTTAATTTTTTGCTAATTCTTTGCTGTCTACATGAAAGTATTGAATACCTTTAAGGGTTTGTTTTAACAAAAGTTTAAGTTAAATATATCCTTATCATTCAAAATTTGGTTGTCTATGGTAGGCTACATTGTAGACTCTATTAGTGACTTTGCTCTTGGTAGTGCCTCCTACACCATTGCAGGAATTTTTTCTTTGCGCTGTAGCAAAAAATGCCTCGCAGCTGGTATTGTACCTGTGACTGAATATTTCAGTAAAAAATCATTTCATGATACTGTATAGCCACAGCCACCTTTAACTCCAGGCCGTGTAGAGTTTGCAACGTCGCAAGTAGGGTCGTCTAGTGCCAGACGTCCCATAAGATAACATGTCAGACATGTATAAGATATGTAAAAGACATAAGATAACATGTATTATTAATTCAAATTTGGATTTATGAACATAAAAAGGATTGAAAATAAAACACATAGAATTGAAAACCAAAACAAAATTATATAAAATCCATTTCTATACATTTAAAGTGGAGTCAATATTTTCCGATTTTGTAGGAGGCACTACAAAGAGCGATGCCACTAATAGAGTCTAAAATGTACCATAGACAACCAAATTTTGAATGCTAAGGATATGTTTAACTTTTGTTAAAACAAACCCTTAAAGGAATTCAATACTTTTATGTAGACAGCAAAGAATTAGCAAAAAAAAATTAATTGGAACTTCAATTTCAACTCAAAGGACGTCTACCAATTCCCTGAACACAATCCTCTCACAGATTTGTACCTGTGGAAGACAACAAAGAGTGTTTTAAAACATCAAAATGCTTAAAATATATGATTAAAATATAACATTGTTAAAAAATAAATTGATAGTGAGTTATAATATAACATTATGCTTCACGCTATTACGGCTATAATGCTCATTTAGTACTTTTAAATTTTTCATAACTTTGAAACCAGTTGAGTCCACAAAATAAAATTATTACAGCATAATACTCTTACTTAGTACTATATCTGAGCCAAATTTGAAATTTTTATTTTCATGCCCAACAAAGATATTAAGCATCAAACTTTTGAAATTTTGAAAATTTTAAGATTTTGAAAATTTTTATTTAAAAGCCTATGCAAGTCCACAACTTGAAACTTTGAGAATTTAGAGTACACACCTATAACTATCAGATAAAAAAATAACAAACACATAGTCAATTGCCTTTATATAAAAATAAATTGTTCAAAATCAGTATTCGTAACATCGTTGCGTTAAACTTTAAACGGGTAATTAGACCTATATATTTAGTTTTAAGTGCATCAATATATTACCATATTAAAGTTCAGATCTTTCTGAAGAGATTGGTTTTTATTTTAATGTTCTAGGATTAGTAGAACCAGAGATATTTAATTTTACGCAGAGCTCTGAAATCGCTGAAAACGGCCGTTCGAGTAACAAAAAAATGGCCGCCATACAGTAGAAAAATAAAATAAAAATAAAATAATTGCATTTTTGTACTTCTTATAATATATACTTTCAAGGATAAAAATATAAAAAAAATTAAAAATCTTGAAGCAACCACCTCTGGACCACTTGAAATGGATTGACCCATAACAATAAGTTAGCCTAACAACATGAAATAATATTTAACTATCTTAAGTTAGGCCTAACAACTTACCTAATTTTCTTCAAAATATTACTTGAATTATTGGTAGCCTACTTCTCAAGTTGTATTAGAGGCATTAAATGTATAACAGAAATACACTTTCCTCTTAAGTTTAAGTTTAACTTAGTTACCGTAAGCACAGAAAACATACTATTATAACCCAGAATGCCCACCGCATGGTAAAAAGCGTTAAGTACTTTGAGAGAGCTTTGCCTGTCAATTCGAAGGCAGCGCCACCAGCGTTGTCATGCACTCAGCATAACGCTTTTTACCATGCGGTTGGCATTCTGGGTTATAGAAGTATGTTTTCTGTACCGTAAGTTATATCTTAAATGTGTATACTAGCACTACGGTAGGCTAATAGGTACTAAACTTATACTAAGACTTAAGTTATGTTATACTTATTGCATTTTTTATCTTGTCCACCAATATTAGGCTAACTTATTTTAAGAACAATTTTTCTCTAGCTCATTTTGGATAAACGACTATTCCACCCTGATTATAAATTTCACACGTTAGAGAATCACATTTCTTTACCCTTTTTGGGATCGGTCGAAACCATTGTTACTATTATTATTTTGACGCCCTTTCAATCTTAAAGATTGTAAATAAAGTATTCTTGTATCTTGTATCTATTAAACTTAGTCTTAGTCATATTCTTTGAAGATTGAACTTAGCATAATTAACTAAACGCCCAATGATAAATGATAACTGTACACCGTAGCCTAGCCTATTTATAATTGTAGAAGTTAACTTAATGTTTTTTTTATATTTTATTGATTGTAAGTTTAAATACATTGGCATAGGCCTACTTCTTTTTTAAGGAACATTTTCTAGTGAGTTACCTAAGTTAAAGCTAGGCTAATTACGGTTTAAAGTAAATATCGCAATTTGTTGCTTCAAACTGTAATTAGCTGTAATTAGTTTATTGAGCAATAAATTTAAATTGATCTAATAAGATTCAAGGCTGGGTCAGTTACTTAATTTGATCAAACTTTACTTATTAAGTTGCTTTGTTGTAAACTAAAGAGCTGTTAACATTTAAAAAAGGTGTCTTAGTTTCAGCTCTTGCTGTCTTAATCTTGTAGCCTAATTAAATGATGACTTGGGGTTTTGACATGTCTTTGTAATTATAGGAATAGTTCATAACCAAAGATGAAGGTTGTAGTCGCTCTCTTTGCGCTGCTGGTTGCAGCTGAAGCAGTTTCATTCTACGATGTGGTGTTGGAAGAGTGGAATCTATTTAAGGTTGGTTGCTTAAGAATGTTTTTATAGCCGATAGGCTATAGGTGAAGTTGTTTGATACTTTCTTTAAAAGTCTTATTGAAACATTGAATTTTCAACCAAACTAGGCCTATTCTTACAGGCCTGCTAAAACTCTGATTATAGCTTGTTTTATATGAATATTCTATGGAAATTATGCTTAGGAGGACATAACAAAGCATAATTTTTGCTGGAATGGAAAGTAGGCCTAATATTATGTTTAGATGAAAAAATATTATACATCTTAAACACAGTTTCCAGCAGGGCATAAAATAACACGTTAACTGGGCGACACTTGTGCTGAGATTTTGTCGCCCAGTGACTATGGGTGGTGCCGGCATATTTTTTTTAATGATCCCCATTTTAAATGTATCGGAATTTAAAAAGTAACATTATGTAAATATTTTAGAGGGTTGAGCTATGATTTTGGCCCAAGAGGTTGTGAAGGGAGCCTTGGCCTGTTACAACGTTCTAGAATACGGTATGTAATTAAGTGAGATTAAATGGACTATTTACAAGCAAATATAATCAAAAAATTCATTAAAATATACGTATGTAGTAATTTGTGATGTTCACTTTAATTTATGCAAAAAATTTCCAGGGGGGAACACTCAGACCCCCTTTTTGATGGGGGGGTATTCCTCCCAGACCCCCTGGTAAGTCCGGTGCCACTGTCGCCCAGTGGAAATCCCTTAAAATATGCTCTGGTTTCCAGGGGGCTGATGTTAATTTTAAGTTTAATGCTACAATCATTTTCCGAGAGCCCAGTGCAAAGTACAAATAACAAAACTCATACCTATAGCTTAAATGCATAAATTTAACTTTATTACAGTACGATAAGTCTATTTTATCAAGATTGGAAAAATTGAGAAAAGTAAACTCAGCTTGGCGTATAATAAGTAACTATAATTTTATGGGTAATATGTTAATTTAAGCACTATATTTTATAATTGTCATTAAAGATCCATTTGTAGTTCAGGTACGATAGATATTATTAAGTGAGAGTGGTGTTTGCCAGGTGAGCAATAAACAAGCAGAGACAGTCACATAGAGTTCAGTTGTGTCAACATAAAGTAATAAATGAGTCACAGAGCAAAACCTTGTCACAGATAATGTACGAATATTCAACTCAATCAGCTATTGTTCTAGAAAATGCAATCTAGTTCTAGTACATATTTTTGTCAATCGTAGCAACTTCTTGTCAATAATACCAGCATTTCTTTTAATTTTATGCCTTTGTAGTAATACTTAGGCCATTTTATTTGTTTTTACAAGGGCTACTGTAGACAAGATGGCATGTTTTAATTTTTTTATTTCAAGTTTTACAACTGTTTTACCGAAGAATAAAAGACACACAGCCAGCCATCAGACTGCTGTTTTAGTTTCAGACTTTTTCCTTAGTGACAATAAAATATGTCCAAACAATAAAATACCTTCATAACAATGATTTTGGCCTTGAGCGGGAATTTTGATTCATTTTAATTGATTAAGCTGGTACTGTAAGTGCCGGATAAGGCCAGATAAAGGCCAAGCAAGAGGTTTTTGTGAAATTTCGGTTATAAGGTCAATAAGTTTGATAAACGGTCTTAAAAATCATTCCAAGTTTTAATTTTTTTTGGGTCTTAAAAACCAGGAGGCCTACTGTAATTTAATTTAATAGAGATGTTATCCACACAGATTAAAGGAACTAACATAATATGTTGAATATAATTAAATATAAATATTATCTTGTTATGTTTCATATTATATGGGAATGGGATCAAATCTTTTCACATGTCTTTTGGTATTTGGGTGTAATGGCTACCAGTGCTTGTGTAGTTAATTGGTTACTGGGAAGCAGACTTGTCAGCTGTGGTGATTCAGAGCAAGTTTTTGTTGAAGGCCAGGCCTGGTCTTTGTCATTCAATATCTCTCCCCTCCTATCCCACATAATAGTCACTTCTGCTATTCCAGACCCTTCCATTAGATTACATTATAGTTCATAGATGAATCTTTTTCAAAGACTTGTCAAGAGAGCTTTTGAGTCAAATAAAAAATACATAAAACATTTATTTTCGTATTTTAAAATTTTCTAGATTTCTCATACAATGATGGTCAAAGACATTATTGTTTGCTTGGCATGTACACATTTAGTAAATTGATAAATAATAATAAATCAATAATAAAAATAACCTTTTCTGTAAATTCACTAAAAGTTCTGTTCTTCATTATAGGTTCTATGGCTCTAAAAACATTCATTTTATGTCCACTGTAATATTCCTCCTCAGCTAAGAATTTGTTGTGTCCTTATCTTATTGTTTCCAAGAACTATGAATGTGGATTGGATTTGTCGAATTTAATGTAGGCCTACTGTAATGGTGTCCTTATCTTATCGTTGTCATTATCTTAATCTTAATCTTTAATTCCATTTAAATTTAGTACTCATAGAGTTAACATGGGAAATTCCAGAGCCACTGGGGCGGAGCCCTTTTGACGGACCTGCACCAAACTTGTATACTTACTTGTATACTTGTGTTGATCCCACTAGTAGCTTTCCAGCCGTGGTCGTCAAAGTTGTTTAATTTTCAGGTAGGGCCTATCTTCACTCAATCTTCCAAAAATTCTTCCAGCTTGTAATAGGCCTTTTCTATTAAATAATTTTTGAGGTTTTTCTTGAATACATTTTTGTCTTGGCAGCTTCTTATTTCTTCCGGCAATTTATTATATATCTTACTTGCAGTGTGATGTGGTCCAGCTGTCACTAATGATGTTCGGTGACAGTTCAGGTGTATATGGTTTTGTTGCCTGGTGTTGTAATTATGTACTTTGTGGTTGCGTTTGAAGACTTCCGGAAATTTCCATATCATCATAGCTGATTCCAATATATAAACGGAGGTAAGGGTGGGAACTTTAAGATTAATAAAAAATGGTCTGCAATGTTCTAAAAATTGGGTTTTACAAATTATTCTAATAATTCTCTTCTGTAGTAGAAAGACTCTGTTTGCTTCACTGCTGTTGCCCCAAAGTACGATGCCATAACTCAATACGCTATGAAAGCAGCCATAATAAACTTTCATCAGATGATCCACTATGTTTTGTAGTCTGCGCATAAGACAACATAGTACCACAAGTCTTGAGGTTATATGATCAATGTGGATATTCCATCTAAGGTTATTGCTTATTTTGATTCCAAGATAGTTTACGTTATCATTTATTTTTAAGTTTTGATTTTTTAATTTTAAGAGAGGGCTATGGTCAGGTGCCTTTGTGTTGAAAAAATTTAAAACTGATGTTTTGTTTTCATTTAGTACTAATTTGTTGTCGTTGCACCATTCTTCCATCTGATGAACGCCTATCTGGGACTTGCGTATTGTTTCCTCAGAGTTTTTATTATTAACTATATGGCAAACATCATCCGCAAAAAGCCAAAGAGCTCCCTCTTGTATTGTCTCTTGTAAATCATTGACATATAGCAAATACAGCACAGGTCCCATATTTGAGCCCTGCGGGACTCCAGTGTTGATGTTATTCTGAATTTTTGATCTGTATTGCCTTATGACATTATCAGCACCTAAGTTATTTACGGCTACTAACTGAGATCTATTTCCAAGAAATGACATAATCCAATTTAAAGGTGCATTTACTATACCCAATTTTTGTAGTTTTAATCTTAGGATCGAGTGATTTAGGCAATCAAAAGCCTTAGTCATATCATAAAATAGTCCAAGTACTTCTTCCGAGCAATCTACCTTTTCATGTACATGGTTAATCAGCGAGAACACAGCATCAATTGTTGACTTATTTTTACGGAATCCATATTGATTAGAATTTAAAATGTCATTTTTTCCCAAGTATGGTATTAATCTATTTAAATATGCCACTTCAAAAATTTTTGAAAAAACTGACTGTATGGCCACTGGCCTATAATTGCTTACCTCCTCTTTACTATTCTTCTTGTGTATAGGAACGATTTTTGAAGTTTTGATTATGTCTGGAAATTTTCCTTCGTCAAAAGACTTATTAATGATCACAGATAATGGTTTTGCGATTACATCAACGCAAGCCAACAGTACCTTGCACGGAACCCCATCCACACCTGAACTAGATTTACGACATACTTTTTGTACAATTTCCACTATTTCTTTTTCATTTGTATGTTTTAGTTCTAATATTTCATGATTGGGTAAATCTACCAAATTGAAGTTTGGAAGGTCCGAGGATATAGGCCCACCTGAATTGGCTCCAACCAATTTGTCTACTTCTTTGTAAAAATAATTATTAAACAGGTTAGCTACCACAATAGGGTTTTCTTGAACTAAGTTATTGGATTTAATTGTTAGGTTATCATGAGTTACAACTTCTTTTGTTAGGCTATGTACAATTTTCCAGGATTCTTTACTCACATTGGATGAATTAATTATTTTATTATTAAAAAACTTTTTCTTGCTATTTGCTACAAGTTGAGTGTGCAATTTCTTAGCTTTACTATATTCCATTTTTACTGTAGTATCCTGTGTTATCCTACTTTGCCAATAAATATTTACAAGATTCTCTCGGGAATCAACCACTTCATCATCTATCCAAGCTGTGTCCTTTTCATTTTTTAACCTAACTACCTTTTTGGGGAAGCTAACCATAAAGCAGTACATAAAACTATCGTAAAAATCCTTAAAAGCTAAGTCACAATTATTAGGCCTATCATCATTTTCCTTGATCCATTCTTCTTGGTTCAATCTAAAAATAAACTCCTCCATGTTTGATTTGTTAAATTTATGCTTTTCTATTTTTAAGTTAACATTCTTCTTAATATCTAAGGTCAAATCTACAAAAAGCCACTGGTGATCAGACATAGGTGTTGCCATTACTCCGTGGTCTGTGAACTTTATGTCCTCGTTGACTGCGATATAGTCAATTTGTTTGGCAGTGGTGTCAGTCACCCTTGTGTCATCGGTAACTACATTTATTAATTTATGTGAGCTGAGAACATCAAACAAATAAAGTTTTTGAAGTGAGTCAGTTTTCCCATCAATATTTATATCCCCACAAAAAATTATGGGCAGATTGAAATCTGTTAGTTTGTTCAATGCATTTTCTAGATATTCAATAAATTTATTAAAATTATTATCGTATGGCGGTCGATACACAACCAACAACATAAAACTAATATTGTTATTTAGGGATAAAACACATGCACTGGACTCAAATACTCCCTCGGCCATCGAGTTTTCAAAAGCCAGAGGCTTAGCTTTAAAACTTATATTATTTTTAATCATTATGGCAACACCACCTCCAGTCGATTTTGTTCTGAACGAGTTGTTGATTACTTTGTATCCAGCTATTTTAAAATGTTGATTTTTTGTAGGATTCAGCCATGTTTCTGCAAAAGCAACGATTTCCGGTGACAATTGTTCTAATTCTACCTCCAGTTCATCCATTTTTTTATTTACTGATCTAATATTTAAAAAACTTAACCTACATTTATTACAGTCCTTAATTAAACTATTTACATTAGACTCTAACGCCATATACTTGTTAGAGTCTAGGGCATGTTTTTTTCTGAGTGCTGAGAGTTCCCAATCCTAGGCCTAGGTCTACCCAGGTCAGACTGTCTACTTCCTCTTGCTGGCACATACTGACAGACAATCACCTCCTCTGGCCATACTTCTGCATCAAGTAGCTTATTAATATAACTAGATTTACAGCCTACCTTAAATGATGAATAGCTATTGTACTTAGTCGGCAGCTTCTCACAGATAACCTCAACTTCACCATTACACACACTTTTTGCATGTAGGCTCACAGATTCCACATCTACAGTGGCCTTCAATCTTGATATAAAGAGCCAGGAGTATTTCTCGGCCACTTCCAACCCATCACTAATTTTAGCTTTTCTATAAATAGCTTTGTTGCTTCTAGTTTTCTGTACGTGATCCAGCCTAGGCCTAGGCCTACTTGAATGACCGTTACCATTACTAGGCCTATACGTGGATTGGTCCTTCCCATGATTGTTGTAATTAGGCCTCCTATGTCGTCTGTTTCTATATTCCGTCCAGTTTTCATTTTCAATCACAGTTTGATCCATCGTCTGAAACACTTCTTATTTCACTTGAAACATACTCTCCATTTTTCTTCATCTTTCCAGATTCGTCATTTGCTTTGCTTAGGTTTAAGCCGTTGTCAAACTCTTCCTCTTCACTTCCACTACCACTTTGATTTTCCTGTCTCTGCCTGCCCAATTTTTGTGCAGATTCATCATTCCGTTTCGCTCTGTCCCCCTCTGCCTTTGAACCATTTCCTTTGTTCCCCTTTACAATTTTACTCCAAGTAGTAGCGTCATGCGTCGTCTGCTTACTATAAATGCTTGAATGTAGCATTTATCACAGAACCATTTAACATTTTTGGACATCTTGTTGATCCATTTATATGAGTCTTTATTTCCATTCATACAACTGGGATGGTACCATGAGTGACAAAATCCATCACAATACAGTCCCTCGCCATCACTAGGAATCGTGACGTCACAAACAGCACATGGTGCGCTAGTTTCATCCATAGCTCTCTCATGCACACTTCCAGCATAGATATTTGCCACTCACCCACTTCAAAATGATCTGAATGTTTCCAAAAATGATCTTCTTGCTTTATAATACCATATCCAGCAACTTATTTGTGCAAAAATTGGAATAAACCCACTAAAATATTAAAAATACTGGCAACCGAAATCGGACACGTCATGCAACTTTAACTCACTCCACTCCACTCCCAAACAACCAAACTTCAAACAAACCATCCTTAAATAATCTTACTAATATTATAAATGTGAAAGTTTGTGTGTTTGTTTGTTTGTTTGTTTGTTTGTTTGTTTGTTTGAAGTTCAATCACGCATAAACCACTGGACGGATTGGGCTGAAATTTAGCATGATGATAGCTTACATTCCCGATTAACATATAGGCATATTCTTATCTCAAAAATCCTTTCGGGCTCCGCCCCAGTGGCTCTGTAATTCCCCATGTTAACCTTATGAGTATTCATATTTAAAAGGAATTAAAGAATTAAGCCAGCTGTTTCAACTAAAAAAAGTTGGTTCTATGATATGGAAAAGCATTAAAAAGTTATAAGATTTACCAACAGGGTGCAGCACTATATTTTTTTGCATTTATGAAAACAGCTAATTTGAACTAAGTAGCAACAAAAAACTGTGATTCGCAATGAGAACTGTCAAAGTAGGATTGTTTACAGTTATGTTTATGTTTTTCATTTCATGAATAATTTGTGATATTTTGCGAATTGTTGATAATTTATTTTTCTCTATTGTTTAGGTGAAGTGGTAGAACATTATGGCTATGTAGATGTGTAATACTATAGAATACTGTAAATTTAAAAAAGCAAATTTTAACAAACTGTGTCCTCCCTTATTGCAAACGCAAAGCTTGAGTATAACTGCAATAAGCATTTTATACTTATATTCCAACCCCGTACGAAGGACGGGTACTCTGCTAGTGCTTAATAATGCCTGAAAGTTTCATTACAATCTGTCCATGACATTCAAATATATATATATATATATATATATATATATAAACAAACTTCCCCTTTTATAAATATAGATAAAATCTTTTTTTAACATTCATGTTGGTTTCTATTTTATTCAAAACTATTTACAAATTCTAACTAAAGTTAGAATAAAAGCTTAAAGCTATTAAGTTAAAACTAAGCTTAAAAGTTATTATTATTTACAACATGTGTTCAACAAACTATACTATCCAAAGACTTATAAATTAATATTTAACAAAGTCATATAGAAACACTGGCTATGTATTCTGGATCCAAATTTTCATAAGTAAAAAAAAAAAAAATAGGCTGCAGTTTTGGTTGTTAATTGACAACATTGCAATCTGCTTAAAATAAAGTAGTGGTGAGGGCTTGATGGAAAAGGTCTAATAAAAATAAAGATCCCCCGTTGAAATCTCATTTACCCATTTCCTAGAAGTTTTTATATTCGTCGTCCCCTTTTGCCCTCCTTATTGCCATCACATTCACGTTTCTACAGTGCTTACGCTGTAGGAAAACTAAGAGCGCTATAACTGCTGTACAAAAATTCTCTGTGGTCATCACCATTCAGGCTCTTTCTGGCTCGGTACGAGTACATTTCCGCCTCATCATACCAGAGCTAAAAGTGCACGGTTGTCCCATAAGAATATATTCTCTGTATTTTGCTGCTCTGTGCAGTACCTAAATATGCCGTGGTCAGATAAATTAACTGAAAACGGCCAAGGAATTCACTCAAAATATTGTTGTGGGAACCGTGTATTAAACCTTAAATTCATATCTTTAAAGAATGAATTTATTTCAGTTTTGCATGCCTACATCTTAAATCACAGAAAGTCTTCTTGAGGTTTATTAATTTACTTAATACATATCTTTTTAATTTTTATCAATTTGTTCATAGATGACTCATGGGAAGAATTACACGAGTGACATGGAAGACAAGTTTAGATTGAAGGTTTTCCTCGACAACAAACACAAGATTATCAAACACAACACAAGATACACCAATGGCCTCGTGTCCTACAAACTGGCCATGAATAAGTACGGAGACATGGTGAGTATTGCAATATAGTGTTTAAGTATAACTCTGGATAGTGGATAGTATTCATGATCCAGAATATACTACTTAATCATTAGACCATCTTTATTGATTTATTGTCATACTGAATCTATTGGTACCTACAAAGCTATATTTTTACACGTTATTGCCTTCATTCGGTATACCTTGCAGGTCTATTTTCTCTCTGGGATCCCGGAGTTATAAGCACCAGTAAAAAATATGGGCAGAAAATTAGTCACATAAAAAATATCTGGAAAGTTGGCAGACTGCTCACTTATAGAAGCTTTGTGGCTTTTTGTTTAGTTTTGTTTTAAAATTAAATGCTGGATGCACTTTAGAAAACTGTTGACTTGTGAAATTAAAAAATTCAGTAGCAAAGATTAAAGTACCGGTACAACAACAGTAGATATTTAATTTAAAGTCAATTTTTTGTGATTGTGTGTAAATAATATTGTTTTAGGGATTGCTGTAGAAATTTTTCATCAGGATTCGTAAAAAACCAAAGTTTGAGTGATATTTTGGAATCTAGAAAAATGATCCTGAAAAACAGAATTGGCCTTGTTAGTGTAGCAGATGGCCGATTTGGTTTCCAATTCTTAATTTTTTTCAGATTTGGCCATAGACCTTTCAAAAAAATGGTGTGTAGACACCAAATGGTGTGTTCTAAAATGGTGTGTTAACACTTAGATTAACACTCTGATACAGTAGAACCCCTCATATCCGACCTCGGTATAACTGACTCCTTGAGATATCCGTCTACTTGTTTCCTGTCTGGAGCGTAACACCGAGCGCAATCGGTTAACCGAAAGGGCGATTGCGGATCTAGCCGTAATCGCAGCTGACTATCCCCACTGTCGCCGATAACGGGTGTTGCTGCAGTTGTGGGAGACAATTACCGAAGTTGCGGAGACTGCAAATTATGCTCACATCTGTTTTTTTTCCAGCTGCACCACGAGTTCATTTCCACAATGAACGGATTCAACAGAACGAAGCAGATGAAGCTGACAGGCATGTCAATGATGGACAAGCCTGTGACCTTCATAGAGCCAGCCAATGTTGAGTTGCCCAGCAGCGTGGACTGGAGGACCAAGGGAGCCGTTACCCCAGTCAAGGACCAGGGTCACTGCGGCTCCTGCTGGTCATTCAGTGCGGTAAGTGACAAACACAAAATAAATATTAGTGAAGGTGTTAGTACCTTAGGTTAATTCTTGTGAAAATTGTGGGATCCAACATGAAAGTGTTATGGTACGATACTTTGTAGCAACTGGTCACATCTATTGGCGGAATGGTCTGACCATGATGGCTTAGTGCCACAAGTCCAGGCAAATTGCAAGTGGGGTTACCAAGGCAGCAAAAAAGTGGCTTGCCCTTTTTTCCTACATAGGGGTGGAGGAGTGGCTGTTAGAATAGTATTTAGGGGTGGCAGCAGTGTAAATATATATCTAGGGTTTTTTAGGGACTCACTTACAGTTACTTCTTATTGGTACTTCCAGTAGGAAATTGTTGAAAACTAAACCGTAGAAATATGTGAAAAGCGGTCACAGTCATCACAGTAGAATCCATTTAGCAACAGTTGTATTCACGACTACATTGAACTTAAAAAAAAGTGGTACTGACACACCACTAATAAATACACTAGTTTCTTATCCTTCAAACAATGTAGGAGATCATTTGAGTACTTTTGAATGTTTGTAGAGATGTATCACTACATACAATAGGCAGGCAAATTGAGGCTTATTCTAACCCAGAGATAAATGAGCGATGACTGTAGTATTCTTTTATGCATAAAATATAGGGACTGGGCTGCTTATGCTAGGTAATAAAGTAACTGAAAAGTTTGATTTGATTGTTGTTAACTATTTCAATGGTGCATCAAGATTAATGCTACAGATGTAGGCTAATTATTCTTAAAACATATTCTTTTTACTTTACTCATACAAGTTTAGGTTGTGGACGAAAGGCAATATTATAATTTAAAATTTAGTTTAGGTGTACATAAACAGGTGTCAGTCAGTACTTTAGGTTAGGAAAGCTAAAAATTGAGTAGTGGGGAAAGGAAAAAAACTAATTTGTTTCTCAAACAAGCCACATATTTCAGACTGGAGCTTTGGAAGGACAACATTTCCGCAAGTCAGGCAAGCTGGTTTCTCTTAGTGAACAAAACTTGATCGATTGTTCTGGCAAATATGGAAACCAAGGCTGCAACGGAGGACTTATGGACAACGCCTTCCAGTATATTAGAGACAACCGAGGAATCGACACTGAGGGAGCTTATCCTTACGAAGCTGAGGTGAGGATGTAATCTGCTAAGGGAAATAATATTCTACAGCCAGACCGCTGTTTTAACTTGGATGATGGCTCCTCCAACAAAACATGCTCTATATATAGTATGTAGGGTGTAGGCCTACTAAAAATTGATAAATACATTATGTCGCATTCTCAACACGATACTGCTCTTTGCTCTACATATTACCATTAACCTTAACTTAAAATAACTTTACCACATTTCAGTCATGCACTGACTACATTCTGGAAAGCGTTGTCTGCTACATAATATGGCTGAATTGCACAATCTATATATTAATAGGCAAGCATGTTTCTTTAAAACCTTTTTTCTCAGCTCGTTTATCTGATTATACAACATACAATGCAAATAATCTTGATAAATATCTTAAATAAACTATTTGAAATCGATAGAGTAGCCTACTAAATTAGACATAGAATGATAGTTTCTTTGAACTTCATACAAATGTGTAAGATTGCGTTGATGTCTGTACTGTAGCTAACTATTTTAATGCCATATCGCAGGAAAAGATTTACTTTACTCCATTTACTCCCTATATTGGACAATTCATATTTGGCATCGATCCATCCCTACTAATGCACTTTTGTACAATCTGTTCTAAAGTAACCGTTAGATCAAGTTAGTGGCACTCGTTCATTTACGTTACACGTAATATATAATATTATCAGGTCTTCTTTTTATTTTATACCTAGAAACAATTTTTCTAAAATGCATTACTAGAAAAATTTTTGTGAGTAAAAAAAGTATTGGCATAAGGTGATATATTCATGATTTATACTGTTTTTTAAGTCTACATAGCCCTCCTGATCGTAGATCCTAATGTGAAACATGATTTCAGGACGACACTTGCCGCTACAGACCTGAGGCGTCTGGTGCCACTGACAGCGGCTTTGTCGACATTCCTGAGGGAAATGAGAGTAAACTGAAGGCAGCAGTGGCCACCATTGGACCTGTCAGTGTGGCTATAGATGCATCACACGAGTCGTTCCAGTTCTACAGTGGAGGTACTCACCGTTATGTGCTATCAACGAATTACATATTACTTACGATTTTAGCTCTGTATTTTTTTATGGAACCGTTTTGGTTAACCCGGGTTCTACTGTTATTTATCCTGCATGTAATGACAAAGTTTCATCTATTTTAATGTAGCTAAAATTCCCAATATTTTATGACTGCATAATAATTATTTCTTGATTGATAGCTAATTTTTTTTTTTACTGGATGTTGTACAAGCAATGAAATGTAAAAATGTGTATAAAAGATCCTCAAACGTTTATGTGACGATTCAAACCTTTGCACAGATGTTTACTACGAACCTGAGTGCAGCCCGACACAACTTGACCATGGTGTTCTGGTAGTGGGGTACGGAACTGATGAAGATGGAAATGACTACTGGCTGGTGAAGAACTCCTGGGGAGAATCATGGGGTGACAAGGGGTTCATCAAGATGGCCAGGAACAAAGACAACAACTGTGGCATCGCCTCAAGTGCCAGCTACCCTCTTGTTTAAGCTAACTACTCAGTTCCTATAGTGTAAACAGACTTAACAATTGTGAAAGATACCACCTACAACATGAGCAAACATGATTTCATTACCTACTACAGTGGTAAACATGATTCCATTTTTACAGGTGAAAACTTTAGGAGTCTAGTAGTCTGTAAACAAAATTTTAACTTCTGAAATCTTCCAGTTTATTTTTTTTTTTTTTTTTGCAGAATTCCAATACTTGTGTCAATTTATATGATAATCTTTGAGTAGATTTCCTAAGTTTATTTGGTTCCAATTGATCCAATATAATTTTACATACTTTTATAGTAAGGCTATTGATCTTTCACTAATTACAATTATCTTCCAGTGTGATAGAAACTCGGGTAAGATATTAGCTCATTAGGTTAATGGTAGATTTAGATATATTTTGTATTTCTGAGATGTATTTCTAGTATTTGATTAGTTTGATATAATAGATTAATTCTGATTCATACAGTTAATAATTTAATTTGTCAATCATCACTTTAAATAAAGATCTTGCGTTAATTTTACTTTACATGTGCCTACAAAATGATACGTGATGTATTGCTCAGTTTTAACATAAAATTAACGCTTAAAACAATATAATTATATATAATCAAATGAGGGAAAATCAAAACTGCCTTTGAACATTATATAGTGAACTTTTGTAGATTTGTATACGTTTCCTATAGATTTTTCTTTGTTTTTAAATGAATTGAGTATCTTTTATTTTTCTTACTAAAAAGTTAGACAAGTACTACTCTAGATGATTATTTCATTTTTTATATGTTAATCTAAGCTCATTGATGTATATTCTTATTATTTAAGCTATTTACTGTATTTTATAAAAATAAAGTGTGTTTATATAAAGGCTTTATGTTATCCGTGTTAAATTGCTGTAGCCTACATCTGTAAGCTATGGCCACTTAAAAATAAAAAATCCAAGGGCCAAGGATAGCTGGGCCCATGATTGAACAGTAAAAAGGTTATTAATGTTTTACTTTTAGATATTAAAAAAAAATCCAAAGTTAAAGCTTGGTCTCGCGAATATATTGCTATATTAAATTGTTTAAGTGTATTCTGATAAACTTAAAGCAGCAAAGGTGAGGCTGATTCTTAACACACAGTAAAGCTTTGCTGGAGAACTCTCTACAATTATAAATGATTGAATGACCATGCTGAAAGCGGTGTAAAATATGAATGGCCTATGCGTGAAAGTATTTAATTTTTTACACCATTTCAGAGTTTTCGAGGGTGATATAGAATATTCTGGGGTGTTATTGACCAGCTTTTTTGGATCATTAAAATTTAAATTCAGATCTTAGATTACCTGTTTGGATGGACACCCTGGAAACACTCTATATAGTTAGTTAGTAAGTGTGATGTTGTAAACAATTTTTTTTTATATAAATGAGTTTTAATTCCTTTTGTATCATGCCGTCTCATGTACTTTGGGATATTAAGAAAGATACCAATTAATTATAACATTTGGCATTAATTAAGTTGAAGAAAAAATAGCTAGAAATAATACAACAAATTTTGAATATTTACCATATAACTAGTGAATCACCAACCAAAATAATACATTCACACAAAACAAAGGAAAATTAATATGCAAATGAATTATAAATTCAACGTTCTTTTGTGGGGTTAAAGTCCAGGGGAAATGAGTTAACCTGTATATAGATGTAAAAACACAAGTATAAAAATACTGTTTATTGGTACAAAAACTACATGCTACCTTAGACTATTGCTACCTAATCTACATACATATAATTATCATGTTTCATTGTTTGCCCAAAGGACACTTGTAAGGTAAGCCGTCCTTACAGCAAAACTCTTTCCCAGCAGACATGTTGGAGTTGACCCAAACGTCGTTGCAGTTCTTGGTCCACAGATATGCCTGCAAGTATTTAAAGAGGCCGTAAATACAGGGTATCCAAATATGAATGCCGAGATTTTTAACAGTCATTGTTTGGGGAATATTCAAGATAACTAAACGTTTTAGTTGCCATATACAGGGTGATCAACTCAAGGAGGCCACCATTGGGATATCGGAAACTGTAAGAATTAGAGAAAACTTTAAATGGGGGACATTCCTTTATTTTTTGTGGCAGTTAAAAATATGATTTTATTTTTTTGAAATTCAGCCGCCATTTTCCAAAATGGCGGCCAACTTTGAAATTTCTTATGGAACACCCTATATTTTATCATGTTTTCGGATAGAACAGGCAATTTAAAAACTTTTTTATTCTTGACTTTTTTTCGATAAACTTACTCGTTTAGGAGTTACAGCCTATGGAAAAATGACTTCCGGTGTACATTTAACATCATGTAGCTCCTAAACAAGTAGGTTTATGGCGAAAATGCGATGAGTAAATAAGTCAAAGAAGTCTTAATATTGCATCCACATTCCATAAAGACCATAAAATACACAGTTTTCCACTTTTCAAGTTTGCCGCCATTTTGGAAAATGGCCGCCATTTTTAAAATAATCGAATTAAAAGTTTTAACGAATTTTATGGTCTTTTTGGAATGTGGATGCAATTTTAAGACTTATTTGACTTATTTACTTTTTGAATTTTCGCTATAGACCTACTTGTTTAGGAGCTACATGATGTTAAATGTACACCGGAAGTCATTTTTCCATAGGCTGTAACTCCTAAACGAGTGGGTTTATCGAAAAAATGTCAAGAATAAAAAAGTTTTTAAATTGCCTGTTCTATCCGAAAACATGATCAAATATAGGGTGTTCCATAAGAAATTTCAAAGTTGGCCGCCATTTTGGAAAATGGCGGCTGAATTTCAAAAAAATAAAATCATATTTTTAACTGCCACAAAAAATAAAGGAATGTCCCCCATTTAAAGTTTTCTCTAATTCTTACAGTTTTCGATATCCCAATGGTGGCCTCCTTGAGTTGATCACCCTGTATAAGTTAAAATAACTTAGTTTTGTTTTCTGTGTAGCAAGGGAGAAAACGTTAACCTACACAAGCTTAAAATGGTGGCAGGCCACCGTTGTGACGTACAGGCTAGTCGCCAGTACTATGATGCTAACGACGTAAATGAAGGCACAGTGCAATCTGTGGTTCGCAGGATATGAAAAAAGTAAAACGATTGTTACATCAAATATAAGTTCACCTGATGATAAAGCAATTAGTTGCTGGTTTAATCAGTTTCAAGACAAAGGAAGTGCTTTAAAAAGAGATTCAACTGTCCAGTCAAAAACAATTGATGACAAAGTCAACACATCTGAAAATCCTGCATCAGTAGCCCAAATAAACCTATTGTCTGACGAATTCTTCAGTTAAATTATACCTAATTTGACACTTCACAATGCTTTTCGTAAGAGATTGAGACTTCGTGCTAGAAATTCAGTTAAGACATCAGATTGAACCCAATGATTCCTGTAAGCGTACAGATTTGCCAGTATTATCATTGACTATACAGGGTGTCCGGTCATAATTGTTAAACAAAATTGTGCATCAAAGTACATTGCAATAGAGATAGATGATTCGCCTATTGGGTCTGATGATGATTGGAGTGTCCAATCGAAATCAATCACCACTTACCATCTTTTGTATATTTACCGTCTTGTGAGTAACAGTATAAGCGTAAAGATATGTTTTAAGTGTTATAAGACGTATCTTTATTTACTTTCCGTATAGAGATAGAATAACGCACATTTGAGGTTCCCAAATTCAACCGTTAGGGAATAACAGATAAATTAAGATTTTTCAAAAATTATTGTAGTTGTTATGAAAAAGGTTATATTACTATGTTAATAACATACTTATTGATAATTTTAATGTAGTTTTCAGAATCCCCACAAAATTTTAAATATAAATAATACATAATCGTTGGTGTATGGAAAAAAAATTCAATCTAAATTTCTTCGTTAAAGAGAATATTTTTTAATATCGACGTACATTTAAATAACATTCAGAGCTTTATTTCTCGGTTGCAAAGTTCCGCTGAGGTTATCAAATATTAATAAAAATGTCCTTATTTAATGGACTTTCCGTACCCCATCGATTATGTACTATTCATATTTAAAATATTGTGAGGATTCAGAAAATGACATAAAATAAACAATAAGTGCTTTTTTAACAGAGTAATATAACTATTTTCATACCAACTACAATAATTTTTTAAAAATCTTAATTTATTAGTTATTCTCTAACTGTTGAAGTTAGGAACCTCAAATGTGCGTCATTATGTCGCCATTACCATGTAGCTTGATGCAAAATTTTATTTAACACTTATGACCGGACACCCTGTATATATAGTCAGTGATATTATGCTCAAATACTGATAAAAATCCAAATTTCATTATATTTTTCACTTTGTTCTGTTCCCTTCAATATAACGTCTAAATCATTTGATTATCTTGAAAATAGTACCCAAGCAAAGGCCTTTAAAAATACAGTACCAATATTCGTTTTGCAATACAACGTATTGCTAGGGGTGTGCATAGCAGCAAAAGATTTTCAATTAGAAGCAACAATTTGATTCAAAAGCATACGGCATTTTTCTATTCATACTTGTCAATGGAGTGAAATAACAATAGGCTAATTAAAATTTACCACATTTGTGTAATGAAAATTTTTGTTGATGTGGTATTGGCCTATTCATACAGATGAAAAGGAAGAATTTTAAATAAAAAAATATTTTTTTTCAATCACATTAGAAGAACCTGTATTGCTGGAAATGTCAGTGAGCTGCTTTACTTGCCTATTTCATAATTTTTACTTGCAGAATCATATTTTTAGGCGTATTACCTATTTTTATAATATTGATTTTACAAATAAAGATAAGTTTTGGTGTAAACAAACAAAAACATTTGCAAGATTAATACTGAAACTTTCAATTGGTTTACATTGATAAAATGAGAGAATAGAATCAGACCTACAAAAATACAAATTTATCAGTCTAAAACATCAATCTTACTAGTTGTATCAAGTAACAATCTTTCAGACTTTGTGTTATTTTTAGAATGATTTTGGAGTGACTTGTTTTGGCTATGTTTACAGTAGTAAAACATGTCTAACACTGCTTACACTTAACAAAACTTCTCATCATTTGCAATGTCAAAACAAAAAAATTATAAAACAATTAAATCAATATTTACAAGTAAAGAATTAATTAAATAAGAACACCTTCGGAAAGGAAACGCAAAAACAACACACTCCTGTATTGTGGGTAGGCTATTGCATTGACTTTCTGCAGGTGTTTTTCGTATATGGATACTGACTTCCTCATGAATCGAATCGTTTTTTGATCACCACTGCATCGAATCGGAATTTTGATGAATCGCACACCCCTAATTGACTAAGATAATGTCTAAAAATTAAGGATACAGAGGGCAGGATAAGAAGGCTTGCCTTAAAAATTGTTGGCATCCCACTTCACAAATGGGACACAAAAAACACTAAGGATAAACTGAATATTTTGAGGCCACTGACCCCTTCTTCCACATTTGAGTGTCACTACATTCTGGATGTCCCTCAATCAAGGAATAAGCCTACATTTATTCAAACCAGTGTGATAGTAGTATGGAAAGGGGGTTTTGTGGCGGTAAAAATAGGTTTTTCTCGTGTCCAAAACAAACGCCAATTTCACAAAAACTTTTTTAGAGTTTAAAAGCAAATAAGTTAATATTTAAAAGTTTTTGGGAACAATGTTTGGTTACAGAAAAAATGTTTAATTAAAAACTCTAATGGAAATTAAGAAACCTGTTGTGGTTTGCTTGTTTATACATTTTGATCAAATTAGGTAAATTTATTTATTTTATACTAAGCTATACTATTTTACTAATAAAACCCCTTTATTCAAACTATGAAACCACTATCACAACTATTTTGGATGTTTAATGTGCTGTGTGTGTTATATTTAGTGTGGTTGTTTTATAGAATGAAAAATGAAAAAATATGGTTCTTAACATCATATTATGTAAGCAAGAATTTGAAAATGTAGAGCTTAATTAATTTTAGCATAATATTAACATAAAACTTACCCTCTCTTTGAAGCAATCACGATCTATCGTACCACAGATTATGGTTCCACTGTGCGGCAAATGTCTAGCAATCTAAAACAAGACAAAACATCAACCAACGTTGTGAAAAAAAAACATACTCAAGTATTGCTTTTTTTGTACTGGTTGTCTCCAGAGGCCATAAACTCCATTTCTAATTGCTCTTTTTAAAGGACCTCATATAAAAATAGTTTCCAACTCAATAGGAGATCTCACAGGTTGTGGTGGTTCAACAACCCGGAAAACCTCTTCACAAAGTAACATCTTAATAGACTGATCAGTCTCAGATCAATAGTTTTAGTGATGGAATAAGCCATTAAATCATTAAACAATGGAACGAAGATACAGGTTTTACACATAACAGGTCTAGGGATTTGATCATTCTTTTCAAACAAAAAGTAAAAAGTAGTGCCTACCCGTAGCTTATAAAAATGTTCACACAAAAAATAAAATAAATTCAGTGTGATACTGACCACTTCCAAACACTTGTTGGCACACTGTTTCTGTCCCGCAGGCGTGCAGACGAAGGGTGTTTCATACTCATGAAGCAGGGCTGGATATCCCGAAGGCGGCTTGTGACTCCCGTGTGCAAACTGTCCAGTGAGAAACACCCCACAGGTGCAAGGGATGATGGGAGGAGGGGTTGGCAGACTCGGCAACTTGGGCAGACTGTTTATCGGGTTGGCAGCAGCAAGCAGACTTGTCAGATTCAACGGTGTTGTTTGTACAGCAGGCGACGACACAGCTGGCTTTACCTCCTCTGCTAAACTGAAATTTCCAAATTTGTAATTGAAAGTAGCAAGGATATTTTTATGCAGAGGATGAAATTACATTATGTAAATATACTCAATTCTAAATTTTGTCCAGCGTGTTTATGAGGTTGAGTATGCACTGAAAGTGTACTGTATTTTCCCTTATTTTTGTTGTTGTGGACATCATGGAGATGACCAACACCTATGTAGGACCAACACCCTCCTGGTAGGTGCACAGCATGGGGGCGAAGGGAAAGTAGCACAGGGAAGCGTTCTAAATATCTCCCGAACTTGCACGATAGAAACATGATCCATACGGCATTGTGTTTTTTTGCTCTAAAGCTGTCCGTCATTTTGAATGTTGGTGGTAGTTAACATTTTTAAATGCCACCTTTGAGAATTTTTCCAGTAGCCTAGTTTGAAGTCACTTACTAATTCTTGCACAATTTTAAGTCTCTGGGAAATTACATAGTTGTTTTGATCTCCAAACTACAGTCAGTCAATCACAATATTATTCCCAATTAGAATATTTTTTTCAACTTTTTCCTGGGGGTTAAGGCCCAAGACCAACAACCACACTAAATTTGAATTATCTGGTACACCTAGAAGAAGTGGTCTAGAATTTCTATACAATTAGATATTTTCAGGACATAATATCAATCTTTTGCAACAACTGCGATGGTGATGTTAATTTTGTGATCTTAGAGTTCATATCATCACTTAACTGGTTTGATAAAACTTGACTCACGAAATGGTACCCCGAATTTGAAGTTCTTTCTAACAAAACATAAAGGACTAATAATAATAGAAATATATGGGACTTAGGATAATTATTGCTTGAAAATACTGACCTTATAACAATACATTGAAGAAACACAACAGCGAATGTTCGCATCATGGTATCTGTAACAAATGATCTATGTTATTGTAGCATTATTTTGTACTACAATCTAATTATTTATTTATTTAATTATTTAAAGCATAAGGGAGAAGCCTCATCATGGAGGATGCTTGTAATATGCGTTATTGATTAGGTAGTTTTTGGTTTATGGTAGTACACATATTTTTTCCCAAAAAAAGATCTACTCTATAGAGTGAGGACTAGATAAAACCTCCATTGGACTTAGTGATGAGGGCCAGATAAATACTTGGCTTGTTCCATAAAGTTTTCCAATTTAACTCAAATAAAAAGTAAATTTCCTATTTGATGAACTGAAATATTCATAATAATTTTCTCATGTTATTTAAGGAGAAAATGCCATATTGAAAGTTGTGTGTAGCATATAGCTGAATAATCAGAAATACCCAGGTATTTACTGCCCTGGATAAATATCCAGGTATTTCAATTCACCTAGTTGGGCTGGATAAAAATTTGACAAAAACTAACTCAAAAGTCCAAATGTCAAAAGCAAGATTTTTTTTAGTAGGCCTAATTGCAACAAAAAGGGAAACAAATAATGATTACTTTAAATAAAAAAACTTAAAACAAAACGTTTTAGAATACGTCTAGATACAAAATATTTTACTTTTTAATTTTATTATTTTATAGCATTCGGTAAAATGTTACCACAAAATAGCCAAAAACTGTAAGCTCAAAAGTGGAAAGGATATATAGCTTGAAGTAGGCCTATAGCTAAGGCAAAAGGCCACATGGTTAATTTACTTTTAAAAGTTACACCAGAATATCAATTTTAAAAGTGTAACGATTCGTAAGCTATTTTTCATTGTTCAGAGCAGACTTGATTTTAAATTAAGTCTAATTATTTCTATTTATTAGCATAATGTCTCTAATATGCTATTTATTTCAGTAGTAGTAAAATCAGTAGGAAGCCAGTGGTAGGGCATTAATATTTTATTGGCAGTACTAGTACTGTATGTAGGCCTATTATTATTAGTGAATGTACCAATAAGTGATACAAGTTTAATTTTCTGTATTTTTTGTTTTAATTTATTTTAGAGATGAAGAGTTAAGTTTTACTTCATGCCTGAGAAAATTTAAGTAAAAATTTAAACAAAGAAACCTTGGTAGCCTATCTAATAATGTCATGTCATGTAACTTGAGTAGAAACTAACATTATACATACAAGCTACACTGATGTCCTATTTAAAACGCAAACTTGAAGAGGATTCCACTTACCAACACTATCACCGAGAGACTGTAAGTTACAGAATGTCAAGTTGGGCAAGACGCAAACTCTTAACTATAACTGCTGACCAGTGCTGACATGTCACAACACACAACTAGAATGTGTCCACTCTAAACATTGGCAAGGTCAGTATGTCACTATTGTCTCGTATATTTTATTCAAACAAAACTAACATTCTGTGATTTGTATTGTTTTACATTCAAGGGAGCCAGCTTTCTAAGCATTGTAGCACGTTTTGCAAAATTTATATCATAGGCTATAATTACATTATTTATTTTTGCATCCAATAATAAGTGTTTTAATTTTAATTTAACCCTTGCCAGGTTAATTTTCAACAAGTTTAACATAATAGTTATATTTATTGAATTAACTTATATTTATTTTACAACTATTTTCATTGTGGTATGGGTAGCCTCCGGATTGTGAATAATAACTAATGATAAGGTATTTAAACCACTATCATTAGTAACTAATTTCAGGTTAATTTACCAACTTACAATTACAAAAAGAAATCTTTGTCCCACGTAGAAACGAGTGAGTTCTGAGTTGCGATATACGGTCATCAAAATGTTCAGGATCGGCACTTTAGTTTTTGAAAGATTCCAGATAATGCAACAAAACATTGAACTTGGGTAATATACATTGAACTCATTTTTGAGCAAATATAATTTCTTTTCATGAATCAACAAAAAGTCCATCGGTCAACATGGAGCCACAAAAAAATGTTGAGCTTGTTGAGAAAGCGGTTAGTTGTCATTCCTTGCCTCCAAATAGTCTTGGAATGGTGTTTTATTTGTTTACCATTGCATAATGGAACAAAGCTTTGCACATAAATACTTTTACTAAAAATTTACTTCTTAGCAAACATAATTTTTTATCATACTGGGAATGGTCTGCAGGGAGTCAGAAAGAAATCTTAAACAATGGCATTAGATCAAGTAGTAGCCTACCTATAATAATTTAATTCACAAGTTATAATTAGAAGAATGCAAAGCTGCAAACCTGACCTAAAAAAGCTTATCCAAGCTAAAAAGGTGCCAAAAAAGCTAAGTTTGTATATGTTTCTGAATAGGGTGTATACAAAATGGTGTAGCCTATATCAGAACTGTGTATAATAGATTTCCTATACATTCACTTCTTTGAGAGATGAATAAGCGTAGTTAGCTACTTACTTGATTCCCCAAGAAATCACTGCTGAGATGTTGTTGATTGGGTATCAGAAGCAGAGGGTAATGGTATGAGACTAACACTGTTGCGTACTCTATGGATTTGTTCCCCACTGCAGTAGTCTTCCAGGAATATCTCAGCAAGGTTTTGCACTCGCTTGTCCACATGTTTAGACAGTTCTAACATCTTCACAATGATGTTGTCACTTGTGATTACTAAAAGATGAATGTATGTTTTACAAATGTGTAAACAAAATATAATAAATAATTAATTTGCCACATAATAGGCCTGATTGATATCAGTGACGTTTCTTCTAGTGAGATATTTATTTAGTTCTCTTTTTACTAAACTCTACGTCTTTTAATGAGAGCCATGTCAAAACAGTATACTGTACACAATGTACTAAACCAGATGATTTTCCCATTTTATTACGTGGCACAGCTGAGACAGTCAGCTGATGACACATTATTGAGTGGGAAAAACTTCTGGTTTTGTAATGCTTTTCTTTTGTTTTGTTTTTTGTTGTACTGTTTTACTGGTATTATTTATAGTGCAAATACAGATTTGACGTGGCTCTCCCCAAAAGACCGAGAAATTAGTAATGACACAGGTCCCTTAAGCCTACAAATGAAAATAGTTTGTTTTATTTTGGATGGGGTTGCACTTAAATATGTAGGGTGATGGCAATGGCACAACCACACTCCAAATCCTGAAGTTGATTTAAAAAATGATGAAAATTTTGATTTTTTGTGACCCTAAAAAAAACTTCAAATAGGTATTCTGGATCTCCCAGTTTTAGTGTAACGTTGTAAGACAACACAAGAGGGCCTAAGAGGAAGAAGCAAAATATATTTTGCCGATGAAAATAAGGTAATGTCTGCGAGTATTCCAATATTAAAAGTTCCTATAGTGATAAATAAATCAAACCACTACTACCTGACTCAATCAACATAGACTTATATAAAAGTCTACATTAAACTCACCTGCTCGACTCTTGTTGCTGATCAGGAACATAAGACTAGTGACTGCATATATAACAGTTTGCAAACAATCAGAATATAAACATTGGCTTATCAAAGTTACACCTCCACTGCTGACAATATGTTCTTTACTTTCAACATCTACAAACAAAATTGTTAATAAAAAATTACGGAAGCAGAAAATATCAATAGGCCATATTTTTACAAATTGAGCACTGTGTATATCTATTCACGTAAAGTGTTACAATAGGTAATTTGTTAGGCGTTTATTTTACAGAGAACTTTAAATGAACAACTTCTCTTATTTTTTTTGTAACATTGTACGACATGCTATATTTAATTTAAAATTTTGCCGCCCTTTTCCAAAATGGAGGGCAACTTAATTTTTTTCAATGGCAACCTCGAAACGGTTAGGAGTATAAAAAAAATGACAAGAGTAAAAATTTTACATAGAATCTAAAAATATCATAAAAGGTGGGGATTGCCTTTGAAAAAATTAAGTTTTCCGCTATTTTCCAATAAAAAAATATAGCATGTCGTAAAATGTTATAAAAAAATTAGGGAAGTTGTTTATTTAAAGTTCTCTGTAAAATAAACGCCTAACAAGTTACCTATTGTAACACTTAAGGTGAATCACCTAGACCTTCATAAGTACTTGGTAGAATATTTTGCATGAGAGTCGTCAAAATATTGGAAAAAGCGATTGCGGCAACAGCCCTGATGATTCTTCAACATTATAATCATCTCCTTAAATCATGACAACATCATCTTCATTTTCCACAGTTGTTATTTTTCTACTGTAGAAAAAACAAATGATTTACTAGTCATAGAAAAGTGAACAAACCACTGCTAAATGGCTAAATTAAGTGAACAATTGATTAAATAGGCATGATGGCAATCATTATTAACACGTTGACTGCGCGTGCCGACTTTAGTCGGCGTCGCCAGCGCTCCCAGGTGGCGCGCGCCGACTAAAGTCGGCACCAGACCAACAGAAATATATTGAGTCAGTGTGAGCTTAGCCTCAGACGGAGACGTTATAATCGTTGCCAGCCTGCCAGCTTAGAATGCGAGCTTTACTTTGGTGTAGGTTGGTACTAAAATTTCCCCTAAAATCCTGTCTGGCAATGCTTTTGTCCCGGTTTCGGGGATTTTTTCTCTTCAACCCACATTACAAAGACACTGGATACGGATCCATGCAGTGCTGCTACCTTTGGGTGTTTTAGTGAACTACATCCACTCTCGGGGTAACGCAGCACAGTCACCACTGCTCTTTTGTGATTCGTCAGACTGAAATATTTGAATGCCAATTGCGTTCGCTGATTCGGTTGCGCGCCGGGGCTTCGCCCGCCACTGGGGAGCGCCTGTAAAGTCGGCACGCGCAGTCAACGTGTTAAACAATCAAACTATACTGTGTAACATTCCTAAATATGGCTACAGAGCTCCTGTACTAGTACAACTCAGACTTTTTTTGGATTTGATTAAAAAGCAAGAGTGGTAAACATTTTCAACTTATGTTTGAAATTAACTGCTCCCAATTATGACAAGTCAAATATATCCACATTTAACAAAATTAGAAGGCTATTTCAACCAACATAATCATTAGGCCTACAGTATGAATTAAAAAATATATTTCATATGAAAAATAACTTATCAATCTTTACAGCTTATATTTAAAGAATTTAGTTCAGTCCCTACTAACTAGCCTACCTTCTTCTACTTTTGAGTTAGATAGCAAGAACTAAAAATAGAAAAGCTAAAAAGGGTTTAGAGAACAGCAAATTACTTTCCCTTCAACATTACCCAGAGCTAAATTGCAGATTCCTCCCAGCGCAAACTGTACAATAGTTGGATCTTCCTCTGATAACTGCTCCAAAAATAAATCAATTATACCCAAGGTACGGATGTGTTCGTAGTTGATTGGATCATACGAAAAGTTTGCTAAGTTAGCAATAGTCTGATGTTTGGCTTCTGTGGACAAATACAAGTTAAGTAAGGCTAAATTTTATAAATTAAGATATTGTTAGGTACTTTAAAAAATATGCTCGTATTCGTAAATTTACATCGTTGGGCCTAGGCCTATAGCACGGAGGGAAAATCTATCAAAACTAGTGTTTCTGTTGCTCGAATTCGAGCAATTGATAAATATTACAGGCGTTATTTTAAAACGAATAACAGTCATAATTTCTGATGACTTTAAAATATTCGACTCCAAGATTATGAAAATACTCAAGATGTACATTATAATTGATCGATATAATCAACCTTTAATGTAAATAGTTTTTTCTACAAATAGCCCTATGTCCCGGGTACGATACGAGAGGCGCCGCTCTGACATTGGGTCTCATTTAGTTGCGTGTAAATTTGTTGAGGGTGGCCATGATACGTCTGAGCGGCAAGCGGCACCGCTCATGGATCCACGTCAAAACCAATTTTCGCGAAAACCCTGCTCGCCGCTCAGGTGAGTCATGCTTCAGTTCGGCCTAAAATGACAGGGAAACAGCAGCAAACATGCGAAAAGGGTCGATACGTGAGGTGCAGTCCAGGGAATTATTGTGGAATGACCAGCACGGAAGTTTTAAAACACTTCAGTCACCCGAAAAGTATGGGACAAAGTTAGGGTTAAGGTTTTTCTAAAAACTAAGTTTTTCTTTAAAGGCAAACAATTGTCAGATAGGTAGCAACAATAGTTGCAATAGGCTACGTCTTGCAGGTAAGCGTAGTTGCAGCATTTTCGACTAAACTGACTCATAAAACTGGGGAAATTTGATGAGCGTTATAAATGTGCTGCTTGTATCGGAGCCACCACCACCGCTTACGTGCTCAGGATGCCGCTCGCCGCTCGTATCGTACCCGAGGCCCTACTCATAGCATAGCCACAATAGGTTTCCAGTCACGTGTCCAAAAGCCTAACAGCACGACTCCCTTCCCCATACCGCCCTGAGCGATAGGGATCATTGAGATTCGCTCTAACCTTTCCTCTCCCCTTCATGTTCAAGTTTTCATTCCTTTTCTTTCTTAGTTTTTGTTTGTTTCTTTTTTTTTTATTTTAACGCCTGTATGTATCCCTGGTTTTTCCTATTTCCTTAGCTACTTTTCTCAATTGTTTCCTTGTAACTCATCATGTTTTATTTTCTTATCTATAGACCTATCTTATCCAAGACTTATTCCTGTTCTCTCCTATTTGTCCTGAAGTGAACAATTTATAAATACGTGACTCGTGGTTTTTATTTCTTCACATCTTAACACCTCCTCTTCCACCATGTGAAATCTTTCACAAATTCACCTTGAAATTTTTCATGTCCTTGACAAACTGCGTTTCATAATGGCCCATCTCCCAATCTTGTTCCAGTCCCTGTCTGATGTTAGGTATATAAGTTATACGAACGTTTACCTTTAAAACACTCTGCTCCCAACGCATTTGCCACTCGTCTAATATCTCCTCTCTTCTGTTTCCGATGTAGTCATACCCGCCTCCATGTCTTTCAAAATCAACAGCTTATGCAGCGATTATCCAACAGTCCTAAATTGAATGTACAATCTTCAGGCGGCTGTTGGAGAGCTCACTTAAACCCAACCCGGAAGGGTGCTTGCTGTATTCGGCTATCAACGACAATAGTATTACCTATTTGTATTTCGTTCTCGTCTACCAGTTAAAATTTGTCGGCCTCCTCCTCGGCCGTCCTGGTCAACGTCTTATAGTCTCCATTATGTCGAACGTTTTTTGGTTATGTTTTGATTCTGTGCAAAATTTTAGTACAACCAGCTGTTTCAAAATATTGGTGTAAATTTTAAATTATTCATCTGTTCAAATGTAAACAAACATTTTCTCCCTAAGAATAACATGGGAACTTTGAAGGCCACTGGGGCAGAGCCCTGATGGAATTCCAAAGTTTATTTGTTTGATGGCTAAACTACATGCTAAGACCTTTCTAACGACACCATGGACATGGTGATCGGTAGCACCACGGCTCCAACACAATTACTTATGACAAATATATGCCTAGCGTATTAAATATACCTATAGATAATTTCACACAATGTGCCAAGGCATAAACAAGTGCCTTAAGGTTAAGTGGCAAAAGTTTAGGCTATTATTAGTGATCTCATTTCTTCAACCATACCTAAGTAAACATCGAATTGAGTTATGGCCTGTTTGCGTTTTGATTGGTGTTTAATAAATCAAATTGAGTAAGCTAAAATGGTCTGTTTGCGTTTTTATTGATGTTGAATAATGAAACTAACTTGTTTTCAATCCAATAAAATATATAGGTAGCCTGTTTCATGAACTTGAACAAGATGAACAATAAGTTTAACCAAAGCGTAACTAAGTTAGGTAAGCCTAGACCTAAAGTTAAGTTGTGCATTTTAGGGTCTGCACGTGATTTTTTTTATAGCCTATTTGTTCATAAAAAAAGTTAAGTTAAATACAAATCTTAAACCAGATTGATGGTTAGGCCTACCTTGGCTTTTCGTTATTTGAAACTCTTCTTTCAGAAGCTTTAAATACTTGAAACGTCCGACAATATTCTTTCCAGTTTTGTTTTTAATTTTCTCTACACTACTAAACATTGCAAAGTTTCGACACTTGAGATACCAAATTTTAACTTTTAACTAATATAAAATGGCAAAGGCAAACTTATCTTTACTTTATTAGGTCTACTCCCACACCCAAGTGATCGATTTATTATCGCACAACGAACACAATGATCAATGATAATCTAATCTAACTTATCTAACCTTAACCTAACACACTTAACTTAACCTCAAATAAAAATTTCAAATAATAAAATAATAATGAAAGTAAAGAAAAAAGCAAAAAATTCAAGTGTTAACAAAAATATGAAGACTACAAAAAAGACACTCATAACCACAGAGCTAGAGAATACAATCTGAAGATAGCACTGAACCACGGCCACCTTTACTGAACCATAGATTAAATTGAACTAGTTAATTAAATTAGAAAATCGAGAGCCCCTATGTCCGCAAGCAAAAGGGGACCGCTTCATACCAAATTGCCTTTTAAAAACATAAATTAAATTTATATTTTCTAAAATTTATATTTCACCTCACTTGGGGTTGACGATGATGATATTTATGCAGAAGATATTCACGATTTGGCCGCAATTGCGGGCAACGATAACGATTTTCCCTTGATTCCAGTACAAAGCGCCACGCGGCGCTGCGTTAATTGCCTTGCCTTGCCATGCCCGATGATGTGTGTGGCACCTCCATTTGAAATAATAGAAGGTGCCAAAACGAAAACGTCGTGCCGTGCCATGCCATGTCGCATCTGGTGTCCACCCGGCCGTCGTGCTGAGGTGCAAAAGTAACCACCCAAAAGCATTAAAAACTGAGGGGTACAGGGTGTCTCAGACTACCCGGCCGGCTTCTATAGCTCCAATATGACAGCAAATGGAAACCTAATTGCAACTAGAACCCCTTTGACTGCAAGGAATTCAGCTAAATTATTTTCAACCCCAAAAAAGCACCCCAAAGGGCAGATTTTGGGAGTAGGGGATAGTTTTTGGGAAATTTTCAAATGTAAAGCAGGGGGGTCGTGTTATACCTAATTTTAAAGGTCCTTGAGTCTTGAGTATTTTAGTGGAAAAAGATTTAAATTATTTTCATCCCTATTTACAGGGTGTTCAAAAACGTACAAAAAATAGACCTTTGAACTATTTTTTTACTGCAAAGAGGTGGAATTTCGTGGGGGGTTCAAATTTTGATAAAACTTTAATTGCTAAATGAGCTTTCAAAAAACTCTGGTTTCAACCCTTTTCCTATCTTTCTACTTATGTTACGCATTTTAAAACTTTTTGAAGTTTCAAAAGCTGTTATCTAAAAAATTTCAAATAACAAGGTGGGTTTAATTACAAACCACATTGTAGCCCACAAATTAGCTACAATTTTTGTATTTAATGTATTTTGGTATCTTTATTGGTTAAAGAGCTGTTATTCCACCTAGTTGTATTCCTAGCTCAATGCTTTTTAAGCATTGTATTAAATCCCAAATACTGTGTGAAAACAAATGTTTAACAATCATTGGAAGTAAAATTGTTGATATTCTTTTTCAGTGTAGTCACGCTGTCTTGAAAGAAGTCGACCTGAGACGTGTCCTACTTTTGAGTCGAATGTCGAACTTGATTGGTAGTTTTGAACCAGTCTCAGTCTCGTACTGGTAGACTTAGACTACCGCTAGCAGCAGCTCTTGTGGTTGAAGGAGTTCTGTTTTGGTTGATATGATCCGTAAAAATATGTTATTTAGAAATAAAAATATAGTTATTTAGAACCGCATAGCTCAAAGTTCTGCCTGCCTTTACCATGTAAGAAACTTGAGAACACACGCTATCTCTCTCAGCTGTGTTGTGTTGATTTCGCTTTGGCTTTATTGTCTGCATCTGCAACTAGCCAAAACGAAAACATTAAACAAACAAGAAGTAAATTATAAAGTGGTCGAGAGAATTCTTGGCCTATTCTAACCCTGAAAGTTTAAATGTCTTTAAGGTTATTTTAATTTCTTGGACTTGGACGTATTAACCTTTTTGGAGAGACTTCTTAATGTAAGTACGCACGCACACCTCATGCAACTCTGGATTGTCAAATGAATGAAATGAAATGAAATGAAATGTCTTTATTGCTTTTAACATCATATAACATGCATTGCAATCGTCAAAATACTTAGATTATAAAATAAGTAGCATCATACAGTGCAAACCATGCAATAAAACTCAAACTTAAGTTAGAAAGAACAAAAACCATGCTTTCTACTCTACAATAAAACAATCCTGTTGAGGCAAACAAACCAATCTACTTACACAATAGGCATACCTTCAACTTAAAAAATCATTTCAAGACTGTCTGGGCATTTATTAATAAGCCATTTTTTTAATTCCATTTTGAAGTTTTTACCTTCTAGTTTCTTTATGCAGTTTGGTAACTTATTGAAAAAAATTGTTCCCTTGACATAAGGGCTATTCTCTGTCCTTTTGAAATGTCTTCTCACTCTGAAAAAATCATTACACTGTCTAGTGTTATGGTCATGCATTTGTCCTACATTAGAAATTAAAATACCAGAACTAAAGTTAAATTTTACCAAACATATAACCTGGTATACATACATTGCGTACAAAGTCATAATGTTGTTTGACACAAAAATGTCTTTGCTATGAGTCCTTGGGCTAACTTTTGCTACCAAACGTACAGCTCTTTTTTGTAACAGAAAAATTCTTTTGGTATAAGTGTGAAAAGAACCTCCCCACAGGACAAGCCCATAAGCCAGATATGGATACACCACTCCAAAATAGACTGACCTTAATGTTTCACAGTCCAAATAGTTTGAAAGTCTTCTTAGCAAAGAAATACCACTCAAGACTTTAGCACCAACATGGTCGATGTGTTTATCCCATGTAAAATGTTTGTCAAAAAATATTCCAAGAAATTTACAAAAATCATTACCATCCAGAGTCATATTATCACCTGAGATGCTAAAAGCCGGAACATTGCGACCAATTGAGAAATGTACAAGATCAGTCTTACTTAAGTTTACCTTTAAACCTACTTCCAAAAAATAAGCATTGGCAGCTTCAGAAAAATTGGTTAATAAAGCTTTAAGATTTACCATATTGTTTGCCCAGCACAGCCCAGAAGTATCATCTGCATACATACATGCAAAAACATTATCCATGACAATAAAACTATTTACATAAACTATATACAGAAAAGGTCCTAAAATTGAGCCCTGCGGAACCCCTGAGGTTACCACTCGTGTTTCCGACCTATGTTCTCTCTCTGTCGTACCATCATCAAAAGAAACTGTGGTGCATTGTTGGCGATTTTTTAAATAAGATTCCACCAGACTCACCAACCATCCTGGAACTTTATAGCCAATCAGTTTTGCCAATAAGATAGAATGGTCAACCCGATCAAAGAGCTAGAAATGTACAGTTCTTAATTACGGTAATAATTTTATAATTTTACCTATGATAAAAGTAGGAGTACTTGTTTGTTTACCACCCCCACATCACGTAAAAGGATTCATTGCATGACTTCTAAGTTCCACGACCCCGATGATATAATATTTCAGTGTCATGTCCAAAATAACATTTTTGAGCTGTTTCCCGATCTTCCAACATAAAAAATCTGACTGTTGCACTCCAAATCTCACCATGTCCAAACGTACAGTAACTACAATAAATATATAGTCTTTCTAGAAACTTTGGACGTCATGAGATTAGTCTTCGTAGAGCACTTCACACTCTTAAAAGCCGCTAAGTTACCAGTTGCACTATATAGTCGAACAGCTATCAGCGCTGTCCCATGACGTCCAGACTCCAGAATACCTGCACACTGTGAGTACTGTTACCATCTATTCAATTCAATTCAATTCAAAACATCTTTATTCATTAGTATATATTGTATATACAAGAATGGTGTCAAATTCATCGTTACATAAAATATAAACACAAATAAAAGACAAATACAATACACAAGAACAAAACAATACAGTCATCTCTCAATTAGGTATAAAACAAAAGTATACTTCAGTGAAAACAAAAAACAAAAAAATGCTACTAGGCTATAGTGCATACGATATCATTACTCAACCTAACCTAACTCAACCTAATCTAACCTTGCTCCGTATGCAGGAGCTCTGGACGTCGTGCTACTAGCACCGGCTTTGGACATAGTGCTGCTGCTAATTTTAAGAGTATAAAGTGTGCCAATGCACGACAACCAATCCTATGACGTCCAAAGCTTGTAGAAAAACTTTCATGTAGTTACTGTACTTTTGGACATGATGAGATTTGGACGTTGTGTCAAATAGTTTATATTGGAAGTCGTGACACTGACTTATATCATTGGACGTTGTGACATTTGGACGCCATGCAACACTACCAAAATGTATAAGTATAGAATGAAATATATTAATCAATACCTATTTTTATCGCATTAAAATTTTATCTGATAAAAATTGGAAGGTTCTCTGCAGAACTGTTTGAACCCTCTATACAGGACCCTTTGAGAGATGTCTGTGACGTCTTTGAAAAGATTTTTGATTTATACATCCCTAACAATACTTACATTGATACCAGTTTGTTATCTATCAAACTGTAAACCTTTACAATTAAATTCTTGTTAATCCTTCAATTGTCTATCAACGTTTTAAATGTTACTATCTCTTTGTTAGCAGGGTCTACTGTTGTTTATATTTTAATCGTCCATCAACGTTTGTTGCAATTGTTAATTTTTATCTTAATATTTTAATTGTTAAATGGCATTCCATACTGTTGGGTAATCCACAGAGCTGACACCAGTGGCGTAACAAATTTTTACTGGCCCCCCGGCAAACTTATTTTTTGGGCCATCATGACCCCAAACCACAACCCCACACCCAGGGTTGTTTTTGGGGGGTCTCATGAGTTATTTTTAAACCACAGATACAACATAATTAAAGCCCTCCCCCTCCCCCCAGAGTTATTTTTGGACCACCGATACAATGATCAAACAGATTAATAAAAAAGAGTGGTAAATAAATTATAAAAAAATATTAAATTAAAAATTAAAATATTAAATATTAATTTAAAGTATTAAATGATAGGTTATGTTCCATAAAAGGGTGTGTTAAGTATTTCAGTCGTGTTTTGATGAAAATGTTACACCACTACATCATTAGCCTACTATATCAATATCAGTGTTTGTAAATAAGTTAGTTTGAAATCAAATAAAAAAAACCTTATTTCCATCCATGTATCAGAATGTTTACCTATGTCAAGGAGGTTAAAAATTTTACATTTAATTTATCACACATGTTATCCATTTTTATTACCCTGATCATTAGACTAATTTGTTAATTACAAGGCAAAAATGTGGTTCAAATTCCCTTATTAACCCTCTTAGGCCCCTTAGTTGCTTTTGGCTGTATTGGCTATTAATTAACAGCTGTGTCTAAGGAATATGTCGGCCTTAGTCCCTTTCAAAACTAAAAGGCTACGCCACTCATCCTAAACTCATCTCCATTAATTCTTGGCTTAAAATCTACATTGGTATGGTCGCCATTTCAAAGTATAGTATTACAGTATTAATTTATTAGGTTAGTTAAACCTTTGGTTTTAATTAACCCATACACTAAAGCTGGTCAATTTAATAGATTGACGTACTTTTATCAAAGGCTAAAATAGCTTATTGCATATTTTTATTTTATCTTTGTATGGATTTCAAGCGTTTATCTTACAAAAAATGTCTATTGGTTAATTGTGAGGCATAATAAGATATATGGACTTATAAACACAGTCAGTAGAGTAGCAGTATATTGTATTTAACAAAATACAATCAATATTAGGACAAAACTAAAATGTAATTAATACAATATTAAAAGCCCCAGCCATCGTTCATGGCTCCAGGCTCCAAAGTAACAAAATGTTTGCAGACGACATAAGCAGTGTACGAAATAAGAAGTAAGATATCTCTCAGTGATGAAACTAAGATTGCATAATAATCAAAGACCCACGTTATAACACGTTAAATTTGTTACCCTAGTTCGTTATCACTGAAGAGGTCTACCAAAATTAAACGATAACTGATAACAACATATTATTAATAACATCAATGTTATTAATTGTTCAATACAATTATTGGATGATTGATAATACACTTAAATAAGAATAAACTCCAATTTTTCGGCCCCACTCGTCTCACGGGCCTCTATACTCACCATTTCCCGCTCACCGGTTCGCGGGCCCCCTCACCTCCCGGCCCCCCCCCCGCATTGCAGGCCCTTCTGTTACGCCACTGGCTGACACCTCATAAATGAACATTAGACATGTGATCTGTAATGTCTAGCCTGACTGTAGCCATGTTATATACGTGACAATTGTCAATTCATTTTTGTAATGTCCAATGACAAATAAATTATTCTGATGGTTTATATCAATATTTTGTTTGTTCCAGATTAAAGGATGGAGTTGACAAATAAAATCATAAACTTTTTCACTAAACTTACTTTCCGCAGTATTCCAAAGCCACCTTACAACCACATTGTACAGTTAGGAGATCCCGTGTTAAGACACAAATGTAAAGCCGTAGAGAAAGGTGATCTACAGAGCAAAGAGTTCAAAGAGGTTTGTCAACTACGGTACTTAAGATTTTTTGAGCTATGGCTTGGCTACACTACACTGAAAAGTAAACAGAAGAAAGGGCATAAAACCTAAAGTGAATGCTCTCTGGCTTATCAAATAGAAGTTACTACACTAGACATGACACAACACGCCACATCAGGATACTTGCAGAATTTGGTGAATGTTTCCTTAATCGAGTATTCAATCGACATTTTGTTGTGGCATTTCTTTTTTTCGTGTTTAGAAGCAATGCACGCTCAGTGGGGAATCATTAGGCTGCCTGCACACGTGCCTGCTTCAGCCCCCCAAAAAATATGGCAGTCTTCTTTCCCTACTCAGTCTATTCAGTTTCCTTTCCCTGGGGTCTAGTGAAGTTGAATCTATAATGATAATTTTTATGTACTGAGAAAGTAGGTGAAATTATTGATTACATATAAATGTTTGTGCCCTGCAAATGAAAGGCAATTTAAAATATACTTAAATAAAAATTATATAAGAGGACCAAACAGTTCAATAATGAAAAATAAAGGAATGTGTAAGTTAATAATAGTATTAGTTCATCACTCAACCTAAAGTGACTCTTTTTGACCCGAGGTCAAGTTTTACGATCAAGCCGAAGCTGAGGTCGGAAAATGAGCGAGGGTTAAAAAATCACTTTTGCCCGTGTGGTGAACTATATTTTTTGTTATATTGCATCATTAATTACCAATAACAAAGCTAGAAAACGAAATAATTTTTATGTAAAGATAACCTCTTAAAACAACTTCTTGCTTATTTTCTATTCTGCTAATGCAAATAAGTTACCTACTGTTAATTATTTCGTCTATTACGATTGTGTTATAATGTCGAGCAATCAACAACAATAGGCTAAAACCTTACCTAATAAATCAATCGATAAATAATTTAGATCGATACGATTGCCACAATCAAAATTTACAACTGTTTACAACAGCTGATTTCTACTCCCTAAAGACTAAAAATGATTTTTACTCCCCAGAGAGTAAAAATGCTACTTTAGACCCGCAATGCATGCATTAAAAACGGCTGTTTTTGCTACAGTATGACAAAAAGCTATTTAGTGTATTGATCTGTTGTGTTGATTGTATTGATTTGTGTTTTTCTACGCCAATGGCATTTTAATTTATCTTGTAACGTAGATAGCGCTCTTGTATAAGGTTTGTAGATCGGTCAAAACCAAATAAATTACCTAATATAAACTGTGAATGGCAAATTCACAGATATGTAACAGTCTCAGTTCAATGTTCTGATTGTGTTCAGCTGCTGCACAAGCTGAGGAAGGCAGTGAGGAGGTACAAGTGTGCGGGACTGTCTGCTCCTCAGCTAGGAATCAACATGAGAGTCATGGCGTTCACTTGTCCCTCAGAGAGTGACTACTATGGAACAAGTCAGGAATACCACCTCAAACAGATGCAGCCGTATCCTTACACTGTAAGGTTGTACTTTCATTGGTATTGTCTTTAACATAGATTATGTAGGCTACATTATTTAAAAATTCATGTTTTCGGCCCCTGGACTATATTGTTAAGACAATAATAGGTTTTTTACATACCGTACCTCAGTCAAATAGTCCAAAAATGATATTGCTCAACAGCTCACATTTTTTGTTGCGAAGACAACATTTTCAAAGCTTGCAACTCGTCAAAAACACATTTAAAACACGGACACGAACACAGAAAACATTAATATGGTACGAATACACGATAATTCACATATGGTTGGTTACTATGACTGTGCTAAATTTCGTGCAGATCGCTTCAGCTTTTCAGGAGGAGTATTTGTAAAACAAAAGCAGGAGTGTAGTCAATAAGTATAGGCCTATAAATGAAGTCTAGTTTTATTTTAGCAGTTAAAAGTAAGAAAAACATCGTCAACCACTTTCAAAATTTCCCTTTTGTGCAATCAAATTTATCAATACGACTATTTTATTGTCCAAGTTACACCATTTCTTAAACCGAAACCAAGTCTTAAACCTTACGTTTAAACCAAGTGGTTGTGATTTCATTTTGTAAAATGATTTTGTATTTTTAGCTACAAGTACATTTTTTACAAATTTACTTGCAAATCAAGGGCGGTGTGATTTTTGTTGGTATGATTAATTGATTATGTTGTAGTGTTTTTTTTTTAATGACCTCGTTTTATCTTCTCCTTCTCCAAGCAACATAGGCTTAGGCCTAATTAGTTGACTATTCATTGTTGTTAAAAAGAACAGAACTATTATACAATTAAATATAAACAGCATGATTTTAATCACTCAATATAGAACTGATTGTTAATCAATTCGTATTACATGCAATAGACTATAATATGCTCTTTAGTATTCATCCGATTTTTTCTTTTGTACTGTATTTATAATGTGGTAGATTTGTTGACTAAAATATGTCGAGGCTCTTGTTTACTTTTTAGTGTTTACTCGCAAATAATGTCATGGCGACCAATTAACCCATAAGGCCCATGTTAAATTTCTAAAAGTTTGCATTCATGTAGGGAAAAGTCCTATGGTCCGATTTGTACCATTTCAGATTTATACCTTCCCATGGTTGGGTACTATGACTGTGTTAAATTTTGTGCAGATCGCTTCAGCCGGTCAGGAGGAGTATTTGTAAAACAAAAGGAGGAGTGTAGTATAAGAGCTTCGCTCGCTCCGCTCAATAATACTCGGTTCACAATATTTAGGCAGTTTGAGAGGAAGTTCCCCACCAATTTTTTCTACTTAATGTATGCTGCTTAATCAGCTGTTGAGCTATTATTTTAAAGGTAAGGATAGAGTGGAAGGGGTAGGATTTACGGAAAGTAATAGAAGAAATGTCTTATAACACTTAAACATATATTTACGCTTGTACTGTTACTCGCAAGACTACCAAATAAACATAAAAGATGGAAGTGGTGATCAATTTCGATTGGACACTTCAATCATCATCAGACCCAATAGGCGAATGACAAGAATCTTGTCCCTACTTATTACTTAGGATAGGTAGATTTCTTCCAAAAAACCGCCTAAATATTGTGATTGAAGTATAGCTTTAGTCCATCCCTCAAGAAAACGAGGAGGGTTCAGTATAGGAGGGTTTTATTACTATTGCCAATTCTATTACCAGTAAGATAAGAACATACCTAGTGTTTAACCCAAATATGGATGGTGGATGTTTTGTGCAGTTTTTATTAATGGCTTAGACAGCTTTTTCTTGACTATAAGAACAAGTTTTGGTCTTGCACACATGATAAAAAATGAATAGGACACAAAATACCTTGTAACTCTACAAATTTATTCTCTAAAACAGTTTGGATTTTTTTGCCATTTTCGGTAGCTTATCGTGACTTTAGACAACATTTCACAAAAAATAGCCTGGCGTGATCACTAGTGTGGCAGGCTGAAATAGATAGCCATTGTTAACACTACTATAATGTACATGGTTATTGTCTTGTACAAATTAACAATTTAAGTGTAAATATGCCAAGTAGTGTAGGAAGAAGATATTTTTTATTACAGCAGTATGACCATCGTGATAAAATAGCTTGTGTCTTGCTCTTATAGGCATCTTGACATGTCGATAGTCAGTGACTTGACTGTATAATAACGTGTTATTTTTTACTGACAGATTTTGTGACAAGTTTAGTCGTAAAAGCCTAAGAAACTGCCTTACAAGCATCTAAAGCCAAATAAATATCTGCAAGCCCAATTTCAGATCTGTGTCCATCATGTTGAAAATTGGTTTTGTTTTGCTGAACCAGTTTCCACACCTATAAGTATTGGTCTATCCAAGATTTTATGATATCTTGTATGCAGGAATAAAATATTTTGTTAAAATATGTTTCATTGGTGTTTAATAGTGTATTTTTTATTCCAGGTATGGATAAATCCCACTTTGAAGGTGTTGGATTACTCCAAGGTTACGTTTCCTGAGGGGTGTGAAAGTATGAGAGGTTACTCAGCTGAAGTGGCTCGATACACGAGGGTTCAGCTGTCAGGTGAGATGAGAAGTCTTAGTCACCAATCAAATCAATGAAATATATCTACACTATAGTAACTGTACTCATGTAATCTCTCCCTCTAGGATGGGACGAGGAGGGGCGGGACAGGCAACAGGAGTTGTCGGGTTGGCTGGCTCGTATTGCTCAACATGAGATGGACCATCTGGATGGCAAGTTATACCTAGACACTGCGCAACTCTCTACACTAATATGTGCCTTCTGGAATAGAGTGAACCAGACGGGTGGCAAGGTCCATCTGTCTTACTATCCTAATAAGATATTATCCAAAGGTTAATTATGTAACAGTTACATTATGTGTGAAATATAGGTCTATTAAGAGATGTTGTTTATTTTGTTGCCTTATCCCATTATAAGAATCCTTGTTGGCTGTAGAAAATTCTTATAACTAAGTCTGGAGAGTTTAACAGTATATTTTGTTATTAGGGCTGAAGTTACTGTTTTACCCTTAGCCCAAGTAAACTGAGACAGAGTCAAAGCAGTGGTGTATTATGACCTCAGCGGCCCCTAGGCACATGTAAACTTGGGCTCCCCTCATGGGCGTCATTTTAGACTTTTAACTGGGGTGGCAAGTCTGACCAGGGCCGCAGCTACACAAGCGAGGCACAACAGCAGCATGTCATGGACACAGCAGGCTATGGGGAATTCACGAACATGCTGTACTATGTATGGTTAATGGCAAATCCAAATCAGGAATGAAATTAGACTAAAACGGCACGGCGGGCTATATGTAAATCCACCTTAAGTGTGTATAACTGTTGAAACATTTGATAAAGAGAACATTTGGTAGTGAGTTTCTTTAAAAATCCTACTAATTATTCCAACAATTTGTTTTACATTTAAGCTTTTTAGGGACTTAAGACTCTACCAGCCACTAGTATTATTTTAAAATCCAAACTAATTTGTAAATTTGCTCTATTAAGTGACATCTTTATGCTCTCTTGCTGAGTAAGCATAAGAAAACAATGGGTGAGGAAATTTAAATAAGAATCAATTTTAAATTCATTACAAGGAAGTATTTTCCATTTTATTTGAAATACTTCAAAATATTTCTCACAATGAAAATTGTTACATTTGTACAACCATATACAATTTTGTAATATGTTTTTGTGTGGCAAAAGACTACTCTTGCACCGAATTTTACAATTTTCTGTTAAATCTATGTTAATTAGTGTTTTATCTTTCTACAATAAATCTAGGCATACAATATGAATTAATATTATGATAATACACTTACAGTAAGATGAGATTATAGGTCCACGAATTTGATTTATAGTAAAAAAATTAAACAACTGAAATAACCTAACATTAGAATAGGTTAAAGTGAGGAATTTCGGCCAAGCAAACAAAATAGCTACACTTCTAACTGAAATTAACTTGTAGATTTTGTTCTAAACCACGCTGCTAACTGATCCATTTCTGGTATAAAACAACTACAAACTACAAAAGAATTATATAAATATGATAAAAATCAAGAAAACTCATGAATAAAACTAAAATTATGTATTACACAAGTTTCTTTATTTGCAACAAGAGTAAACTGAAACTTGGAGGAATCCCACAGCACCGAGGAAATGAAAGAATTTTGTTTTAACCTGTTGGCAGTGTGCTAGAGTTTCTGTACAATGTTTAAAATAAAAATACTTCAACTGTAGGGGAATAGAGAATGGCTTAAAATTACTTCGGAAAGGAAATAAATGTTTGCAAATTGACAGAAATGTGGGAATTTTTTTGTTTAAAACAAGGCACATATAACAAACTACTTACAATATGGTACATAACATTAAAAGTATATTCCTACATACAGTGGATGAATACAATAATTACACATTCTATTAACTGGATTAACATTAATAATGATTAAACTAATCTAAGGAAGCGATAGAGAGCAAAAAAAATTAATACTTGGGAAAGGCCTCCAGTTGCAGACAAACTATCGGAAACATTGTTATCAGGGAAACAAGCACAAGATTTTAGGTCTCTGGCCACAACATGGAAATTATGAACCTAAGACACTTTTTTATTTTGACAGTAAATAAATTTGCGTAAACCAAATTGAATGCAATATTCAGTTTTACGGATTGTTACAAAGTATAAAATCAATAATTGCCTGAAGTTTTGCAAGGAATCAATTAAAATTTGATTGATGTGAGTAATTCAAATTTAAACAGTACGAAAATGTATGATTGCAACATATGATTATTGGAATTATGATTTACCTCAGCTTCCCTTCAAGATAATCGTATCACTCCAAATCATAATTATTATTGTTTTTAACTACAAAAATGATAATGTTTGGATAAGCGTAATTAATCAACTGGGTAGTCAATTGGTAATTATTTTCTCCTTCAAATTTGAGGTTTACTGGTTCGATTCCAAACAATATTTTTTATGACCCGAATTACATTTTGGCTATCAATTAATGATGTAAAAAAAGGTTGATGTTAGCTATATATAAGGATCTACCCAGTTCCTTACAAAAATATTTAAAAACCACCAATGACATAGAAACACAAAAACTATATAGCTTGTAACAGTTTAAAAGTGTGTTCTATCCACACAAATTTTTATAGTTCCCATAAACTAAAGTTAATATTACTCAGCGAAAATATAATTTGTAATTCTTCCATAGTATTTAGATAATAATGTTTTAAATTAACAAACAATTCCATCAAATTGATGTTTCCTCTATCTTTCCAGCCAACCGGATTTGCTAAATTCTGTTATTTATTTATCACTAGTATGATACAATATGTACAATAATTATAAGTAGTGGGGGCCATCTCTGACTGGAGACCTTTCTCTTCTCTCTCAGGCTTCATTCTGTGGCTGATCCAACAGCTCAAGTGATCGTTGTGCTTCAATGATTCTGATAATACAGTTCATAGACCGATTTTCTTTCAAATAATTTGACTCTTAGAAACAAATAACGATTGATCAGAATAAAATGATTAAAATGTGTAACAATAATGGCAAACCAGGCCTTGATGCAGCTCGATGCAATAGTAAAAAGTATCAACTTGCTATAAAAAGATCAGTTATCAATGATCGATAAAATCAAGTCCATTATCATAAAACTGCACTGTTAATGGGTGCACAATGTACTAAAATTTCAAATGGAAAATACACACACAGTTTTTAGGGCTTTAATATGAGAAACTATTCTCTACATGAAACACAAGACGATAAAAATACTTCCATGCTCGATTATAATAGAATAAGTCCTAACATATAACAATTGATCTAAGATAATTTGTCTTCCAAAGTTAAGATCATAAAGATTTTTCAAGAATTTAAAAGTGCCATAAACAGGATAAGAGGCACCGACCACACGGTTCAGATGAAATTAAAATAATCTGTCTAAAAGCCTACAGCAAAGAAATAAAACCTTACCTTAGTTCTCAAATTATACTTATGCACGGAATAAGTAATTCCCCTAATATAAACAAATCCATTGATTATTTTAATAACTATAATAAAATAAACATCAAGCTTTACATTATGTAGAAACAGAACTACCGACTATGAAAACGTAGAAATGTTGAAATGTACAACCAGTAGACATAAGGTGCACAACACTTTACATATTATAAGACAAAAATGTGCAAATTTCATAACACTATTTTTACACACAGTATCTTAGATAATATCGATAATTATATATATATGTATATACCACTTAACCTCGGATAGCCTAAACACGAATCAAACATTCAATGATAAAAGCAAATTATAGACAATTCAACACGAAGTGCAGAAAACCTTTACATCAGTCTTAGTAACGTTAGGTTTCCGACCGGTTCGGTGAAGCAGCTGTCGTTGTGAACCGAACCGAACACAAGACTGAACCTTGCGAGCCGAACCCAAACTTTCAAACCCATGTGCTAAGGAAAGTAACTCAAAACTCGATTTAGACGCACAACGGTTTGAAAAATTAAATTCCAAATTGTTAAAACCTCAGAACGCACAAATCCTAACTCGACCCATCTCCTTAAACGCAACATATTTATAAGTTAACACAATCTATATATATTACATTGTACAAAACCCATCAGATTTACATTCTACAACTTAGATCGAAAACGGTCTTTATTTCCAATTTACAATATATATATTTACAAATTTTTATAGGAACGGGGTGTTTTAATTATATGGTAAATTACAAAAAAATACAATTTGTTCAAGTTTACATATTTGGGAGAGGTGGGCCAAGAGAGGAGAAGAGATCCGTGCGTTCCTTTATTTACAGAGCCGGAGCTTTATACAGAAGTCGGAATGATGAGACTATCTTAGCCTAGTATAAAAGGGGCCAGACTATTTATAACTATACAACTTGAGCAAAGTGCAAGGGCTGCAGTGCCAAAACCGAATCTTTGGTCCGGATTTTAGATCCTGAAATATCAAATTTAGTAAATTTGGAAAAGAATTTGCTTTTGACGGAATAAAAACCAAGTTAACTAGTGAATACAACAATAAGCTCAAGACGGTGAAAATTGTAAAGTAAATTTTCTAAATCTTCCACAATATACATGCAAAGTTAAAAACAGAATTTAGCAAATTTGTTGCTAAAAGTTGAGCTAGTATCGCCGACGCAATGACATTATATAATTATTGTGATCATTCAAACTGATGATAACTTCAAATGATTATAGTGATTATTTTAAAGCCCTATGATTCTATATATCGACCCTACCCATCAATAAAAGGTTGGAATCACTGTAAAAACAATTAAAATTCGTTTAATTAATATTATATACAATCTGATTTGTTTACAATTTGTACGTTCAACATTTTTACAAACGGTTTTTACAGTTAAAACAATTGGTCCAATTATTTATAAAATAATGAAGGATATTTTACAAACTAAAAAAAAGAAATAATAATAATCACCCGGATTCGACAGCTGTACAACTATATACCTAGTATGTACAGACCTAACTAACTTTTAGCCACAAACTGCCAACCAATGATGACACCCCCAATTTAAAAGAGAAAGAAAGTGGCAGCATTCTAGAGGACGCCGTTGGTGGGCGGCCCGATGGGTCCGAGGTCAGGTACCACGTTATTAGACTTCATGAAGAACTTCTCCAGCTTAGCAATGATGTGTTTGCCGTAGGTGTACTTGCGAAGAGACGCAAAGTGAGGCCGGATCTTGTGCATCAACACCTTACGCTGAGAGGCCTCACACACGTCCAACATCTTCTGTACGACGTAGTTGGCGTACTGGTCTTTCATCATTACGTGAAGAGCACTGAAACAAGCACACAAACAGTTAGTTAAGGAACAAAACACTTACAAGTAACTGTGTGAACATAATCAACAGTAAAATATTGATATAAAGAGAACAAGACTTACTTGTCATTAAAACCGCAGACTTCTTCTATGAGGAAGGCCCGTTCGGCACGAGTGGCGTGGGTCACACACTTCTCCACGACGTTAGAAGCGAACTTGTGTTGAGAGAGAGCAAGAACCTTGCCTCTCACAGCACCGATCAGCAGAGATTTGTCTTCTGGCTTTCCGTGTTCTAGACAATACAAACAATCGGGTTACCATAATGATGCAATCAATGAATGCAATATAAATAATTTTATTCTATTATCTAAGCAAATAAAATTTCTTGAACACATACATATTACTCTTATAAGTTTGTTAAAACTGAACAGACTATTCAACAAAATAACTCCCCCCCCTCTGTTGTTTAGCATATCTGTTTAAAAGAAACCTTCAAAACCTACATATTGTACTGTACTCATCTTTGATACTTACCTAGCACATGTTGGATGACATAGTTGCCATATTGGTCCTGGATCAGTTGATCAGTGTGCTGGTGTAGCTCCTCCAGGATTGGAGCAGTTTGCTCCGGAGTGCAATGCTCCAAGATACGTTGGATCACACGGCAGCCGTACGGGTGAGTGGACAGAGCAAACACCTGCACAACCATCAGTAAAACAACAAATGTGAGCAATAACACAGGGACAGTGTGTGATCTTGCCACTCATCTATTGCTTGCTTTAACAAGTTTTATAGCTATTGTGTTTTTTTAACTTAAACCCTACTTATTTGGAAAAAGTAAGTCAAAGGGAATGAAGTTAGTGGTGAAAGTAAGTCAAATTAGCAAAATGTTTATGGTTATGTGAAACTACCCACTAGACAATTTTATTATTTAAAGTATTGCTTTGAAAAATACATTTTGTAAAGCCCTCTGTATTTATTTAGTGAAACACTATCTACAACCAACAGTCTGATATTCTGATATTAATATTAATATAATTTTAATATTAAGAATTCTACTACAGTATATTTTATAGTTTATAGATAGATCATATAAAATATTGAAACTTTCACAGGTTCCCAAAAGAAAAAAAAAAAAAAAAAAACACAAAACTGCAGGCTTTTGTGGCAGGTGTCATGAAAGTTCATGGTGTTTTTTTTTTGCGTCAATATTCAACAAGCTTTGTTTTTCTCAATATTCAAGAAATACAAAGCAAAAACAATGTAAATCAAGAGCTCGACTGACCTGTCCCTGGAAAGCATTGATGATGAACTGGAGTGCATGGGGGTCTACACACTCGATGCACTTCTGCACAACATGGTTTCCGTTCTGGTCCTTGACACATTTGAGCACATGTCCGTCGAGTTCTCGTACAATCTCCACCTGCTGCTCGCCGGAGATGGACTCCAGCGCCTTCTGTATGACTCGGCAGCCGTACATCTGCAGTGCCAGTGGTAGCACATGCCCTCTCACCTACACAATGTACAGGCAATTTTATACGTAAGTCAAGAAAAGAAATAATGAAATTCAAAATTTTTTTTGACTGCAAAGATGAATGAACGAAGTAGATCTGTAGCTTGGTTAGAATGATAAAAGAAATTGCTACAACACATGCTTCTTGCATTGACAAAAAATCTAACAAACTGCAATAGTCTTGCTCAAGGAAACAACAAAACAACTGTTGAAAAATATGAAATTGAATTTATGGTGGCACATTAACTTTTAAGCTACTTTTCACTTTTATATGTACTGTATAACCCTTTAAATTATTTCCTGAATATCACATTTAAAGATTAAAATTAAAGAGACAAAATGACCTGGAGCACAAATCAAAAGAATTCAATTTATCGATATAGTGTCAAATTTACCTTCTGTGCCAGTGTAGTCTTCTGGTCAGCAGTACCAAACTCGAAAAATTTCTGGATGACGTAGTTACCAAACACATCAGTCATCAAGTTGTAAGCAGCTGCGATGATCTCGGAAAACACAAGCTGCTTCTCCGGCACAGTGGCGCGCTCAAGCTTCTGTTGGATGAACCGCGATCCATGCTGTGGACAAACAACCAATGTAATGTAATGGAACACATATAGCAACTTCATAGTTATGACTACTAGTATTGTTCTATACAGACAAGGCAAGAACTGACTGCTTCCATTATTTACGCTAACTTATGATTGATAGTCACATTAAAAAGTAAAAGACACTTACAACCTCATTCACTTATGACTTGTAAGGCTTGTCAGATAGTTCTGTTCCTTCCACAATACCCCTTAATAGCTAGAGCTTTGAGTACCACCACTGAATTTGAATAACCACCACTGACTTTGAATATCCAATTTTATGTCACTAAATTTAAGGTAAATGATTAAGGGTTACCTGGCTTCGTCAAGACTACGTCAAACTACGTCCAGACATCCTAAATTATATATAGTATACTAATAAAAAGGATCACTTGATGAAGACATTTGAAAGCATTTGAATTTTGAATAGTACAAGTTGACTTCTCAACCTTACTCTGAAGCTTGTTTTACATGTGCGTTTCATGTTGGTGAACTGATGTTGACAAGACAATTATCCTACCTGGTCCTGAGAGAACTCTACGATGTGGTTTGTGAGGTCGCGCAGCTGCAGCGAGGGGTAGCGGTTGTTACGGAAGTCCTCTAGCAGTCTGCTACGGCCCGTAGGCTTGGCCTCCAGCGGCGAAGTTGATGTCTGTCCCAGTGAACGGGGCACCTGCGCCGTTAACACATTAACTGTCTAATATGGATGCATTTCTCTACCAAATCACATTGCGACTCAATTATGACACCAATGTGTTACCTCTAGAAAAGTATTAGAGGCTTAAATCAATAGTAATTTATATTCCTTTCCAAAAACATTCCCAAACAAACCACGAAGAAATTGTTTCAAGAACCAATTTTAATCACGGATTCATGAAAAGAAGAGATGTAATGCTATAAAGTAATTTTAAATTTCCTTAAATCCTAACTATAGCTGAAGTTAAAAAAAGTATCATAGTACCAATTAATAAAGCAGACAATAATATTTTGATACAAGCCCAATCTGTGAGTGGCTCATTCAACAAAGTTCTATTTAAATTAAATACCCCCGCCGCAGCAAACCTGCCGACTAAGCGAATATCCATTTGTCTGAATTGATTTTCAGTTAAATATATTTTAATAACATTAGGTTTAACGAGTACCTAGGTTTGCTGTTACAAGGAAACTAATAAAGTGTGTTTTTGAGTAAAATATTGATAGCTTAGTACAAAATAAATAAATTTGCCAAGTTTGATCAAAATATATCCATAAACAAGCGAACTACAACATTTGACAATATTCTCCATAAGAATAACATGGGAATTTTAAATTAACAATTTTTTTAATTTTCTCCGTTACTAATAATCGAACAAAAATACTTTTATATACTAAATTATTTGTTTTTTTAAGCTCTTTAAAAAGGTCTAAAGAGAAATAGGGAAATTTTGTGTTTTGAGGGTCAAAAGTGAGAAAAACCAATTTTTACCCCATAAAACCCCCCGTAAAGCCCCGTTCCCATGGTCCGATTGTGCTGGTTCGCGAACTCATTCAAGTTTATCCCGCTTTACACCTTTAAACCAAATTTCATCAAAATCGGACAAAAATTACTCAAGTTATCGCGTTCACGGACGTATATATATATATAAGTCTATATATATATACATATATAAAAATTTGAACGAATGGTGTTTTTGGCCTCTGGGGACATCAAAATGAAAAAGTAAATCGGTCCCGGGTCTAGGTCTTACAGTGCCACCTACGGTAATAGCTACTTCCCTATAGGGAAATTCGCTAAAATTGGTTGGTCCTGCAACTACATCACTATGGTAAGGTATACATTACCGTGCCCAGCTTGGCAAACAGAGAGTTGGTGCCCAGCATGGTGGTGGAGGCGCGGAACTTAGTCATAGCCTCGGCGCCCGGTGCGGCGCTCAGTAGGGAGCGGTTGGCCGATGTGGTGAGAGCACCGAGCTGCAGCCCTGCTGAGGAACCGAGTGCTGGCGGAGGAGAGACGGAGCCCGACGCCAGACCTAGCGGGCTCGGTGATGCCGTCACTGTACCTGTCAGAGACAATACACAATGTGTGAACAACTGTGATAGAACCCCCAAAACTAAAAACACTGTCAGCTGACCAGTGGCTGTGTGTGTGCTGCTGCATTACTAAGTGAAATCTCAACATAAACTTGTTGATTTTCAGATTCAACTATATATTTTTTTTACCTTAAAAAAAAAAAAAAAAAAACATTAGGCCTAGTTTTGTGAAACATGACAACTTATACATATTTGTTTCTTTCTTCACAGAAATGTTTGATTAGCTTTTACAGGCAAATGTCAAGTAAGCCAGTAACAATAAAAACAAACTACAACTTCTTCTAATAACCACTAACATTTAGATCATGTAAACAATTAATATCAGCTTTAACTTAATTTCACTTGGGTAAAATATATTGCTAACAGAGGTTATAGCCCTCGTCAAAAATAACACTCACCCAGAGCGCCATAGTTCTGAGGCCATTTCTGACGACCGTACTCAAGTGAGGGAGAAAAGGCAGAGGTATTGCGATCAAAAGAATCTCTTCGTCCCGTACTGCCTGTACTTAGACCTAGACCTGAAACAAACAGTTTAATTTAGACTGAGCTCCTGCAATGCTATGTGCTAACATGTAAAACCAACAAGACAATCACCATTAATAAACAAAAGATTCTTAATACAAAAGAAGAATTGTAACACATGATGGCCAATGGTTAGATTAAGACTACCTAGAATTGCAGAATGTAGAATAAATGCTGTAAGGATATAAACCTTTGAGGGAATAATATTTACATGGTGATATATGACATATAAATATCATGAAATATGTTTTATCGAGACTTCCTTAAAGCAACCCTTACACCAAGTGTAAAAGTTAGCTAAAGATCCATTAGTAAAAAATATTCCTAGGTATAATTATTAGCTCCCTAGACAAAATTATCGCTGTTAAATTATTATAGAGAACTAAAAATTGATTCAATCACTTCTTATTTCACAGGAATAGTAATATTTTGGACTCTTGTAAGAAGACTAACCGGTGTTAACAAGTCAAATAAAAAAAAAAGGAAAAATTAAAAAATCATAGCAATTAACAAATCAAACAAATGCTGTTAAATTTATAGGAATATAAAAATGACAAACACTACACACAGAACAGGTAAAAAATAACAAATGCCTCCTAGTGACAACTTGATTTCATGCAAGACATTTTTATTCTGAAGAGCTTTAAAAACAAAAACAACGTCCAGTCAAAAGGAGTTGGGCGGGGCACAGAGACATGCAAGCTGTGCTAACCTGCGCCCAGAGACGAGAGGCTAGAAGTGAGAGAAGCGAGGTTAGTCGAGTACCCGGGCGCTGCGGACCCGGACTGTGGGGGCAGTCCTACACACACGCACGCACACTGTTAGTACACGTACACACTCTCACGCAACACTTCACTGGTAATTAGTACAGCTCATTACTGCTAGTTATCATTATTTGTTAGTATATAAGCCACTGGCAACTTAGTTTTGAAATCTCAAATGAAGGGGAAAGCGGTCCACTCCAAGCACATACAATTTTTATGGGTTTGCCAAACACTGATCCTGTCCCTCTCGCACAATATACTGAGACACCAACAACTAAGCTAGAATCTCACACACAAATGTGTGACATATTGTGATTTATTTTCATTATATAAAAGAATAACTCATTCACGTTCATAGTTGTGTGGTGATCTTTTTAAAAACCTTGAAGGTTTTCAAATCATATCAAATCTTAGTAATTTATATTGGATTAGATTACTATGGACAGGTTATTATATCCTGGGACAAAAAGTTTTTCCTTTGTGGAAAATATTTTTGGAGTGTCTACAAGCAATCCACATTTATTATAATAGTTATTATTATATTAGTATAATAGTATTTTACCAAAATTCTATATTCAATTGGTTAATGAACAATTCACCAAACACACAAACAGTATTTTGTTACTGCATCCAACAAAGGCTGTAAGAACCTTCAACTGTTATCACATATCTTTCTACATAACATACCGGTATTTCTGCATATTTCTACATAACATACCGGAGATGGTGGTGCCGTTGGCAGTAGGTGTGCTGTACAGGGAGGCGGGCTGGGTTCCACTGTATATGCTAGACGGAGGCGTCGTGATCTGCTGCGTCTGTGAGCCCAGCAGGCGCATGGAACTGCCTGGCGTACCTGCGTTGACCAGCACCGGTGCTGGGGACACCAGTCGCATCGTCTGCGGCGCCGTGTTGATGCCGCGGATCACCATGCTGCCGTTCTGGTCGTAGTAGGCGGTGGGTATCACCTGGTACTGGCCAGGCTGCACCTGCGGCAGGTTGGAGGGGTTTTCTGATGCAGACGACGGAGTCAGTGGACGTCTCTGCTGCGTCGTCGTCCCCTGCTGTATGATGTTGGCTGGGTACACACCCCACGGCACACTGTAGTACTGGGGCATCACTGTGGGACCTGCAAACAAACACACGTCACACTACAACCTATGTTTTACATCACACATCACAAACCTAGTTATACATAGTGATACCACCTGATTCCATCTGATATTACTTTTAGATTTAAGTCCAATAGATTTCTCATATTCCAGTTTGTGTTTTGATTATTCATTAATTCATTTGACAGGGTGTTTACTGACAAAGAAATTACAAAAGTCACTAATTTTAATTTGAAGCTGTTTTAAGTTACAGATTGTTAACATTGCCATAAAAACAAATGAAGTTAAAAACAGCACCTTGTGTACAACAAATTAAATCAGAAGCAAAAATTAGAAACCAATAGTTAATTATTCAATAAAAAATATAAAAAATAAAGTGGATTAATATACTTTAGGGCCAAAGACCATATTGGATTTGCCCGAGATTAGATAAATGGTAATGTCAAACAGACACTGAAGAATTATTTACCATCCAAGAAATTTTTTTTCAAATACCTAGTACTTTTAATATCTAGACGCCTATGAGATAGGACATTTTGTTGTGGTTTTGTAATTGTTTTATGAGTTAGCAGCTAAGTTCCAAGGACTCTTAATGGCCATGTCACGGAATTATAATACACTTTCCCCACTATGGCAGAAAACAGCATACTACAGATTGTTTTGGCAAAAAAAAAAAAAAAAAAAACCACCGACAAGTTACACATTTGAATTTACAGAACTGGCGGAAAACCTGATTTTTGTAATATTCTTTCTAAAAGTTACTGGAAAATCCCATTATTATTTTATAACAAAGGTTATAAAAAGCTATGGTTCCAGTTGAACTGAGATCAAAGCGTAAAACGAGAGCGAGTGACCACAAATGACCTTGTAGCGACCACAGAGTGCTGCGGTTCCTGTGACGCTATGCCCCATGCTCTCCCTTCTACTTCTACGTTTATGAACAATAACTCCCGTAACCAGTCTATTGGGTTCTAAGTATCTTAAGTTATTTGAACATTTCTTAATATCATGTGATGTAGGTGATTAAAATTGGACATCAATATTTATAAAATCTAGAGAATGTAAAGTGAAATTGGTGCCAAAATATCTATTAAAATAGAAAAGATTCTTGTTTCTAAAAATTATACTCATCGATTGTACATTGCATTTAGGTCGATTACAGAAACTGCAAATTCCATAATTTCAACTATTATACACTACATCTTTCATGATTCTTTCATTACATTTTAAGATAAACGAGCCAACTAAACTTTCTTTATATATTAGTTTCCTTCTCAGAAGGAAAAAAGGGAACTAGCTAACACAAACTATGCCTTAAAAAGCACACAACCAATTTTGATAACACTTTTAAGTGTGGATACTACTCTGGGAGTATTTAGTAACATAACATACTTGGTTGAAGGCGTCATCATAACTACTCTAACTTTTAACAAGAGTCTGTACTTTGGAAATTTGGAATACTGTGCTCTTTGAAGATATAAAATTCATTCAGTGTGTTACACCCTTGTAGACAGTAGACATAATAAGACTACATTACTGCCTGTCTCTGTGGCCAGTGAAGCTCAACAACGAGGACACGTCAAGTCCAATAACTTGTCCTGACTCGCACACAACACCCGACTGTCTTACATGGTGATGTAACAAGATGTCTTATAATAAAAACCCTACATTGACAGAATTCTGTGTGAAAAAAGTATTCTTTAATGTATGTGACAAACACAATATAAACTACTAATTAAACTGAAATAAAACTACAAATTCAACATTATTCAAAGAATGAGATTAAATTTACATCACATAGGTCCTATGTACAGCAATGATGTGTTAAATTTTGAAAACGGATTTTATAAACCTTTGAATAAACGCAGAGAGGTACGGCATTATTTTAAGAGGATAAAGGTGAATAAGGTAGAACAAAGAGAATATGTTATGGCTTAAGCCGGTTGTGGAAACTAATGACCTACAATCCTGCAGTCTCTTGCCTGATCTTCTTTGAAACTGAAGAGAATGTGCTGAATAAAAGGTAGGCCTAAAATTGTGCAAATTACATTGAAAAGTTGTTAAACTTGAACAGATGACAATAGATCTATTTTGTGTATTTTAAATTAAAATTAATCATACTTCATTGTAACGCTTGTTTTTAAGTAATATTGTTCTTAAGGAATCAGTTATTTAAATTATGTAAACAATAAGAACACCTTTCTTTAATAAATTCATGGTTCACTGTACAGGACCAAATGTCTCTAAGCCATTTACTGCAAAATGGCGAGCCTAAAAACATTAGTACCCTCAAGACGCTCCTGTTTTTCTTTATTCCAACCCTTTTTTGACTACTTTTAACTAACATTTTCACTAAACAAAAGTCAAAATCAAACTCATTAAATACAAATAATTATACACAAAGAGCATTAATCCATAGGCAACATTTACTTTAGTGTCTTCACAAGAACAGTTGTTGACATGACAATAATTATCATGTTCCAGTAATGCTAAGACCTGAACTGCTTGGTGGCCGTGTAAGACTGTTGTACACACCTGTAGCAATTACATAAGGAGGTTCCTGGGGGTTGATGATGTAAGGCGCCGCGGGGGCGAAGGTAGCGCCAGGCGCCGGCGCCAGGCCTGCTAGCTGCTGTTGCTGCTGAGTGGCCAAGTGTTGGTACTGCTGCTGCTGCAACAATTGGATCTGCTGCGCCGGGTTGACTGCGGTGTTCTGGTTGCGGAACAATTGCTGCAACAGAAACAAAACTGATTAGATCTCTATAACATTCAAATAATAAATAAACAATTTGATTCATTTTACATGAAAAAAGTAATCAATATACAAACAAAAGTTCTTATGTATAAGTTCTTGCGTTAAACTAAATGCTTTATAGAAGAACCCCTAATCATCCAATAAGTCTATTTAAACAAAAAACTATAAAGGATCCACAGTAAAGTTTGAGAGCAACGTCAAACTATTGAAGAGCCGTGCTGAGAAGAACTCTACATGTCAAAAGACATGACAAGACTCGGTTGATTTGAAAGTCATGATTGGAAAAGCACCCCTAATGCACAAAGACACAACACAGAACTAGGTACAAAGGTAATTGCGAGAAGAATCTAAATTAGGTCTCTAAAAGAAACTGTCAGACTTTAACTCCATTAATTGATAATGTAGCCTTTTATAAATTTGCTTACTTGCTAGACTAAACACCTATTGTTCATATTTAAGGATATTCGTTTTTGTTGACTTTATGTAAATTAATTTTTTGTTTACTTTTAGATCAACTTACCGATTAATTTACAAAACACTAATTTAAAAAATCAAAGGTGGGATAAGCGAAAACGAGATAAGAGAATGGAAATATAAAATCCAATAAGCTTTTAATACAGTCCAGTAATGGTCAATATGATCAATCCAGTTCCATTAAAACATATAAATGTACAGTGTGCACGAAATTGAACGTAAAAGCTGGATAGGAATTTGCTTGCACAACAACGCTATTATTTACTTACTTGACTGAATTATAAAATGTAGCCTATATATGTGCGTGTTTTTAGTATCATCAAAGTAATATAAGGTGTTGAGTAGTGGCAAGCTGTAGTAGTTCTGTCACATTAATGCTAATTCAGTTAACAGCCAGATGCTAACACGGCCAGCTCACTGACCACATGTTTATTCATACCACCAATACTTCCAATTTCTTTCCCTATCAGGTATTGCAACTTTCTCTCTAATGAGAAATTAACTGACCTTATACAATCACTAGAGCAGGAGACAGTTTCAATTGATAGATTACAACCATAAAAACAAATCAAGGTATAACACAGTTTTTTAGTTGGAAAACGTTTTTTTTTTAGTCGAGTAAAAAATCTTATAATTGACAGAACTTAGCTAGAGCGTTACAAATTGAACAATAAATTAACACACCTATTAAAATGAGTCTTATGAAAATGCCAACTAAAGTTTTAATAAAAATACATTGCTATGTTTAACACCAACACCTTAAAATGGAAAATACTGATTCCAATTCTAGTTACACTTAAAATGCAAACAAGAATGTGGGTTGTTTTAAATACAAAAGGAGTTGGATTTAATGAGAGTACACAATTTACTTTCCAACTTCCCCTAAGAGTGAGAGGAACCATTCAGGATGGCTGTGAAGGGAGCTTGAATACCAAGTGGCACTTCACCCTCCCTTACATAACTAACTATTAAACATTTACCTACAGTGTGCACTGTGCACTGGGTTATTATACATTGAAGCTGATAAATAGGGACATTGGTATACTTTTACACTTATTAAGCGTGTAGGAAAATTTTCTTAAAAAAAGGATTAAAATAACTTCTCGAGAACAACATTTTTAGTATAAGACAAACATTTTCATTTCTTAATATAATTAAACGTCGTAAAATACAAGTTGCATGATTTAGTAAATGTAACGCAAACAGAGTAAGCATAATTTTACAGCAATCAACAATCAACGTCATGGACAAGAGTTGACAAAAAAAATTTACAAGGTAAAATTTACGTTGAGATTTGACGATGTTTTAGGATGGAACTGAAGACAAACAATTTCTGGCTCTGAGGCAACTCGATTACAACCGAGATGTCACTCGGGACTGATGGCAAAGTCTCCAACTTTCAATTAACATTAACAAACTCTAAAACAAGTTTTAAACTCGCTCAACCCGCCTCTTAAATAATCCAGTCGGGATGTTTAGTAAAGATTTACATTGTACGTTAACGTAATCACTTCAGATTTCATTTTACTCAACAGGACAAAATTGCAGTGACTTTACAAAAGCGAATTCTTCTTGAGATGCAATTCAGCTACATGCGTGTGATGCGGGTATTGCGGGTTTATAAATGAAGGCGCTTCCAACAATGCGCCTATGTTTTACTCGAAAGTTTACGCTACCTAAAGGCTCATTGCAATGATTCGTTATACAGCACATTACATAGAAATGTACGTCATTAACATGTTTATTTCTGCAGCAGAGTGACATCAACGTAACAACAAGAAGCAGAGTCAATCCGTCAAGACTGCAGGCGAGACACGGCCAAATTAAACCCTCTGAATGGATGTGGCTGCTGCAATATTTGATGAAAGGGACGGTTCGGCCGGGGTCGGGATTAAATATGGCCGCCACCACCATTGTTTGTCGAGTACTCTTCGACGACACAAACACGAGGAAATTATTCGAGGAAAACAGTTGTGCCAAAAATATCAGATTTTCTTTTAACGTTTTGGAAAATAGGTGGTTTAACTCAAACTTATTATAATTATTAATTCACGCGACACAAGATTGAATTACTTCTAGCAACAATCCGAGTGTCCGGAGGGTAAAGATAAGTTGTCCGAGGCGGCGGTGTGAAACAAGAATTTGGAAGGAAAGGTCAGCGACCGTGGAGTTCGACAACGTTCGGGGTTCGGGCCTCTTCGGTCGAGTCCGGGACATGGTGTGAGGTATCGTAACGGTGTGGATGGGTCAAGTGAAATAAATAAAGCATTGAATATATAACACTATATATTCACTACTATATTAATATATATATTCAATGGTTATATCAGAAGAGAGAAATATTATCATAGACTGACCAAATAAGGGATTATATCGTATCTATGATAATACCAAAGAAAATGAGTTTTAGGGAAAATGGAGAAAATATTAGATTTGAAAACCAATTTCAAACCACATAAGGATTTTAAGATTTAATAATGACAGATGTTAATGTTAGATGAGAAAACGATTTAAGAAATTTTAATTTTTAAATAAACTGAAATCCAATCATTATATCGCCACGAAACAAAATCAATACCCGATTATAGTATTTCGTCTCTTTCAAATAATGCTACGGAAAATTACGTCCACAGGGAACCGAACAAAAGGTAGAAATATCAGCGAAAACAAAAACCGCTGATAACGTATAACGGACGGATCCAAATGACAGTTCCTATGAAGTGAAGAAAGCGCTTTCCCCCAGCGAGTGAAAGAGAGACTCGGAAAGCAAACCAATCGATCGCATCTCCTTTTTGCGATGCGGTTATTATACGAGTAGAGCGGCGGCGAAAAACATCTCTTACGTTCACGTGTTCTTGTGGGAAAGGATAATTAGAGCAATCAGTAGAGCAAGGCGACAAAACCTGTAGAGAACCACACTGCGACTGGGAAACAATACATCTCTCATAAAACAACTTGCGAGCAATTGATTAGAGAAATAAATCACATTTTATTATGAAGAAGGAGAGTCGAGGAAGGTGTATTGAATGAAGACAAATGAGAAAAACAGATTAGTAAGAATAACAAACGAGGAAAAAATAAAATTATTTATTTAAATTATTGTTATGAAATTAATCCATATAAGTATGTGTTTTCAAGATAAGTGTGTTGCCTTTATTCCGTTGTTAACATCACTGTCTCTCGTCACAGCAAAACTAGAGGTCAAACTATTCCCCGAAGCTACCTTTTGACAAGTAGATAGAAGTATACAGTCCTCGACAAAGTGCCTTCACGCCCATTGCTAACAAATAGCCAAGAGTCCATATCAATGTATAGCGAACAATTTAAAACAAGCCAAATTGAAGTGTTGACATTGTAGTATAAAAACAAAGAAACATATCCTACTCGAATCCAGCATTGACTTCATCTGGTGAATGTAGATAAGTTGTCTACTTTGAAAAAGTCAATGCTGGAATACAGTGCGAGCTGGTGAATTGATCAAGAGCGGAAAGTTAGCTACACTATTTTCCACGATACTGATCCGAATGACGTGAACACTGGAGCACCACGGACGGTGATGGTGAGGAGGGGGGTGGGGGGGGGAACAGCGATGACTGGACAAACCGTGACGTAAAGGTCAAGGCGAGGGAGTCGTTCACCGCGCCACACTCCACAACATACAAGAGCGTGCACAACAATATGGCAAATGACGCGAACATATATACTGTTACCAAAATATAACAAACAGTAAACAGGGTAGGCCTATGAAAATATACAATTTCAAAGATTCACATTTTTAGTGAATCAACGAAGACCACCAATCAATCCACAAATTGGTCAAAATCGCGAAAAATAAGGCTCAAGGTGAAGGTGTTATGTTAACAACTGTTTCCACCACCCCCCCCCCCGTGCTTTACGCTGCAATGACGCATCTCTGTATACCAACGTAACATTTTGACCTAAGTTACACGAGTGGAGTATCCTAGAAACCACAAATTGAGGGAAAGTCGGCCAGGTTGTGGGTGCCTATCCCGTGTGTCGAGGCCGGCAGTTGCTCACGACACAACAGAATCTCAATGCGATGTGCGATCCTATACTCTAACCTTCACCTGCTATGGGTAGAGTCGATAACACACCTTTAGGCTACCAGCCAGGAAAAAAGTATGAAACGTCATGAAAATCAAGTTATAAAGTATTTCAAGCGATAACATTGCTTTCAATCGAAGAAAAAGAGTAAAGCAATAAAAATTGATTACCATGGTAAAAATCCAAAGAATACCGGTGCAAAATACGATTTGAAATAGCAAAATGTTTCATTTGTTAACCAAACACAAGCGGATGTAATTAATTTCAAACTGACGGTTATGATGAACGAGCTCTTAATTTGATACCGCATCGGTCCATTGGGAAACACTTTAGTTATACGGGCAACACATTTTCCAATATTATTTACAACGAATGCAAACAGTCTAATAGGGTTTTCGATGATAAACGACATCCTATGATTCTTCAACTATAATTAA